CCTTCCATATGAGCATTCATAGTTCCTATGGAAGATAAATGGCAAATAAATCAAATTCCCAAAATCACACACTATGTTTATCTAGTGAGAGGCTCTTGATGCCAATTGTAGATTTATATGCCTATAGAAATCAATTAACCTAAGTTGTGACAGTTAAGTTGTGGAAACAGTATTCAGTTACAACTATAATTCTTGTGTTAACACAGTTATAAACTACTTAAAGCAAATAAATGAACACAAGAAATTAATGTGGTTCAGACACAAATGTGCCCTACATCCACGTGGACCTGCAAACACGATTTCACTAGTTCAGATTTACAGTGTACATTAATAGGACTTATTAAACATAATAAAGACTCCCTCTTTAATTTTTACGCCGTTCTTGTACACAACTCGAACTTCGTGTCTCTCTCTACAGCAGCTCCACTCCGCGTGCCTTGAACTTTCTTCAAGCCTGAACCCCCTTCAGAAAACGCGGCTGATCTCCCTTGAGATCTATACAGCAAATCTGTATATGTTGGCACAATGCAACGATGGCACAGTCCTGCTCCGGAGAACGCCTTGGCAAAGCTTCGATGCTATGAAGTGGTTTTTCTCCCAAATAATGCCCACGGTTCTTGTATGTCTTGGAGGCTTATATAGCCACGAAAATAAGCCATAAGACCTAACTTGAACCCCAAGAAATCTATTTAACTAGGTAATAGAATCCTAGTTGATTTTTACTTCTATTCTAGATAAATACAAAAGATTCCTAACTAGAATAAACAACATGGAAATAAATCTAAGTCCTAATATAAGTATTATAAAATAGGACTCTAATAAATTCCAAAATAAATATGGAAAATAAATCTTTACAAATATTTTAATTCCAAAACTCGGCAGATTTCCTCGATCTTCAATAGCTAGTCGGAAATCTGGCGTCAACACTCACCAACAAAAGAACCTGCTTCCCATATACTCACCCCCACTTCCACCCCATTAACCAATCTCTCCTCCTGCAGTAATAATCTGATTTCTTCAAATGCTTCTTCCCAAATTCCATTTAAACTAGCAAAAGATGGACGAAATTATGCATCATGGAAACCGTAGATGACCAATCTACTCTTTGGCTCACAGCTACGAATGAAGAAAAGTTTTTTTGGCTTCGCCAAGATTGGCTTGTGCTACTAGCAATTCAATCCACCGTTCATAGCACAATTAGTCATGCCATTAATAATTGTACTAGTTCCGTTGCCGCTTGGACTAAATCGAGGGCAAGCTATGCCTTCAAGAGTGCTAAGCAAACTTATATTTTACATTTTATAAACAACCAAGAGGAAACAATGAGCTCCAAGAGGAAAATGTATAGTTAATGAATTGGCTAAATCACAACTTTGGTTCCTCAAATTTGAGAAACCAAAGTTGTAATTTAGCACATTAAGAAAAGATTAGAATAATATTATATTGTACTATATAATATATTTATTATCAAAAAATTATTTTATATTGTCTTACTTTTTTTTCAAATAAATGTACTAAAGTTGAAATTTTATTATTTTACTTAGTACTAGTAATAACTAAAATTAAACAATTACTTATAATATTTATATATATATATATATATATATATATATATATATATATATATATATATATATATATATATATATATATATATATATATATATATATATATATATATATATATATATATATATATATATACACATAGTGTCAATTATATATTAATATATTCACATAAATAAAAATAAAAATAATTTTAAAAAAAAAAAAAGATTCAAAATAATAATATATTGTTTAAAAAAATACATGTACAGAGAATTTTTTGTGTGTTATTCGACTCCACGACTTGTACATATATAGAGATACCCACTCTCTATATCTACCACTCTTACCAGTGAAAAAAGATATTTATCAAAGTAAACTACTCAAAATATATATCTTACCAATGAGAAAAGATATCTTATCAAAGTAAACTACTCAAAAGAAATATCTTTTATATAATCTTCTATCTTATATAAGCATATCCTTATAATTACCCGCAATATACCAGATTAATATTCCAAATCCCAATACTCACCCTCAAGTTGTTCGCAATGAAGATTCCGAATGCCCGACTTGCGAATAACCTGTTCTAACTGTTGTTTCCTAAGTCCTTTTGTCAAAATATCGGCCAATTGTTCTGAAGTATATTAACTAAAATAAAATTCAGAATAATTTTCAGAAATAAAAAATATTAAAGATTCAAAATAATAATATATTGTTTAGAATAATACATGTTCAGAGAATTTTCTGTGTGTTATTCGATTCTACGACTTGTACATATATAAGGTTACCCAAACTCTATAGCTACAACTCTTACCAATGAGAAAAGATACTTATCAAAGTAAACTACTCAGAATATATATCTTCTATCTTATATAAGCATATCTTATATACGCATATACCAGATATATCCAAATCCCAATACTCACCCTCAAGTTGGCGCATGAAGATTGTGAATGCCCGACTTGCGAATAACCTGTTCTAACTGTTGTTTCCTAAGTCCTTTTGTCAAAATATCGGCCAATTGTTCTGAAGTATATTAACTAAAATAAAATTCAGAATAATTTTCAGAAATAAAAAATATTAAAGATTCAAAATAATAATATATTGTTTAGAATAATACATGTTCAGAGAATTTTCTGTGTGTTATTCGATTCTACGACTTGTACATATATAAGGTTACCCAAACTCTATAGCTACAACTCTTACCAATGAGAAAAGATACTTATCAAAGTAAACTACTCAGAATATATATCTTCTATCTTATATAAGCATATCTTATATACGCATATACCAGATATATCCAAATCCCAATACTCACCCTCAAGTTGGCGCATGAAGATTGTGAATGCCCGCATATACGGTGATTTGTTTCAATTGGAACGCTTGATGGTTTAACTCCAAGCAGCCCCGTTTCGGCCACAATCTCGAGCGCATATTTCCGTTGGCACAAACTAATGCCTTCAATCCTACCACTCACTTCTATGCCAAGAAAGTATTTGAGTTTACCAAGATCTTTCATATGAAAACAACGCCCAAGATACTTCTTGAGCTAGGCGATTGTCTGAGAGTCATTTCCACCAATAACCAAATCGTCAACGTAAACAAGTACACTCAAAAAAATCGAACTTTTAGTGTAAACAAAAAGTGAATAATCAGAGTATGATTGATCAAACCCATATCGTTTCAAAGACGTTGCCAACTTTGTCGAACCATGCATAAGTCATTGACCAACTATCTTTATTACTTTAAATTCAGGGGTTATATCTATTTTGGCAATAAGTTCATCCCTTTAATATGTATTATAAAAAAAACAAAATTACTGTATAGTACAAAATTATCGCCAAACCTCTAAACCCAATTCATAATTTTAACCCCAATTTAATTCTAATTTCATCAATTTTGACCACAATACCTTTTCTTCTTTTTAAACTTTGTTTTCTGTTTTTTTTTTTTTTTTTTTGCCACCGATTTTCGGCGTAGACTTTTTTAATTTTTTTAATTTTTTTTTTGCGGCTTTTTCCGCCGCCGGTTTCCGGCGTTGATTTTGTTTGAATTTCCCTAAATTTTTTATCCATTTTTTTTCCGTCCGCCGTTGATCGTTGACCGTAATTGTACTAACAGTAATTATATTGTCGTTGACAGTACATTTACGTAATTGTACTGTCATTGGCAGTTCAATTACTGTCAACCACATCAATATTATTGTTTTTTTTTTTTTGTTTTTTTTTTGTTCTATTTGTTGACAAGTAAACGTAATAATATTACTGTAAACACAATAATATAACTTTCAACCACATCAATATTATTATTTTCTTTTTTTGGCTTTTTTGTTTTGATTGATTTGCTGACTGATTAATGTAATAATATTACTGTCTACTATTGTAATATTACTGTAAATACAATAATATCACTGTGGTTGACGGTAATATTATTGTCTCGTTATAGTAATATTACTGTCAACCACATTGATATTAACTCTTTTGACTTTTTATTATGTTTGCATTTGTTAAATGTCAGTATATTAATATTACTTTATTACACAATATTGATTTTTTTTTTGTTAATATTATTGTGCTAGAAAGTAATATAGTTAATATTAATTTTTTAAACAGTAATATAGTTAATTTAACTGTCAATCATAACAATATTGCTGATTAAATGGGCAAAAAATGTTGAAGAAATAGAAAGTTTTCCGAAGAAAAAAAATCGAATAATTGGATTTTGGGTCAATGCTTATTAATAGACATCCATTAACGTAAATAGTTTTTCAATGTATTTATAACAAAAAAAAATTTATGACTTTTGAGATTCTACACCCGGTGAAATACACCATGTGATTTTAAACCGTAAATTTATATAAATAATTACCCACTAAGCACACATACACATGGGTGTGTGTTATTATGTGTAGATCTACGGTTTAAATGCACATGGCGTATTTTGCCAGGTGTAGGTTGTACAAAGTCACGAGGGACCTCCTTATAAAAAGCCCTATTACTCCCAATGTCCTTTATTATTTGTTTTTTTAGAGAGTTTTTTTTTTTCCTTGTATCTAATTATTTGTCATTTTGATTTTTTAATGAAACATTAATTGCATTATTTTCAATTTTACCCTTTATCATTCATAATTAATTAGTTGTAACTAATGTCAAGAGTATTTTAGTGATTTTCTATGTTTTTTACTATAATCTATTCAAATTAATTTATTTTCTTAATATGTGCGCAACAATCCAAAATGTCATTAAATTGGGACGAAAGGAGTATTATTACTTATTATTTATTTTCTATTTTATGCATCGATATTCATGTTTTATATGGATGATGATTAAGAATTGATACTTAGCTAGGAAGTTTTGTAGCTTTATCCTTGATATCTAAAAAGAAAGCCAAAAAGAAATAAAAATAAAAAATAAAAATAAAAAATAAAAAAGAAGAGGAAGAAGAGAGAGAAAGCAAAAAAGTTTAATTTTCTTTAATAATTGAACATAGAGTGAGATAATTAAAAATAGAATAAAAGGAAGACCATAAGTCAGCAAAGAATGGGAAAATGGAAAAGACCATAAATATATTCAAAGACTTTTTATCTGCTCAAATAAAAGCCTTTGATCACTTACTAGTGGGGTTGTAGTACGGAATATTAATTTTTGTTTCTTCTTTTCTACACACTTAAGTATGAAGTGTTTTACTTCCACTGAAAGACTTCATTTTTCATCCATGCAACAGTTCTATGCTGATCATATTTAATTTTGCAGGGTTTTTGAGTTGAAATTAGCAACGATATTTCAAGAGATTGTCTGACGTGGCAGTTTAGAGAGAGAGAGAGAGTGTGTGTTTTTGAAGTTGGTTTGATCAGAAGTGAAAATGGATTGGAATCGTTCGGCCGGCACAAGCAATCGATCGTCGCCGAAAGACGAGTTCACTGATTTGGTGCTTTCATGGTCTCTTCAAGATATCTTTAATGATAATCTCTACAAAGACCAGGTTTTTTTCCACTTTTATATATGTGTGTGTGTTTTTTTTTTTTGCATAATCGGTTATTTTTATGCTACACCTGGTAAAGGTTATTATACCGGCCAGGTGTTTATTTACCATTGATCTACACATACTGATGTGTATGTGTGTGTCTTAGTGTGCATTAGTGCATATGAATGATAAAGATCTACATGTGCATTTCAGCCACTGAAACATAGTTATAAATTGTTGTTGCATCCATATATATATATATGTCCTCAAATGTAGATCGGAATTAAATTGTATTTACGCTTTGCAATGCACTTTTTTGTTAAAACACGACGCCGTATTGTGCTTTTTTGTTTCGAAATAAAATCAAAATTCTTAGTAAGTTAGTATTCATCGGCACACAACATACGTCTTTATAGGTTTGTAATAATAGGAAAATTAAATGTTATATCTGGTTATTCACACTGGGTAGATCTAAACCGTAGATGTATATATAATTGCACACACTCATGTGCATGTGTGCTTAATAAATAGTTATTTAATTAAATTTACAGTTCAAATTTACCCGGTGCAAATAAATAATCAGATGTCACATCTAACTGATTTATGATGAAAGTTGTTTAATTGGGTCTTTAATATTATAGTTTCTGATTTATGATGAAAGTTGTTTAATTGGGTTCTTTAATATTATAGTTTTTTGCAAATGGTCCTTTAATATGGTTTCTTTCATAATCATTGTTGTTTGGCTTCTTTTGGTTTTATTATAATTTAATCATTAAAATAATCACAATTATATTCGTTTGGATAGTACACTACTGGTTATAGTCAAAAGTTGGAATTAAAAATATTGCTTTTATTTCATTATTTTTTATGGATTACAGCTAATTATTTGTGAAATGCATGGATTTAATCTAAAACGACCGACTAATTTTTTTTAAGAAAGTGAATAGGAAAAGATGTCAGGACCGGTTCTAACTATAGGCGAAAGAGGTTATCGCTTCGGGTCCCCAATTTTTAGAAAAAAATAGGGACCCACAAATAATATTTTGTATCATTTATAGATACTAGCATTAAATGATATTTGATATAAAAATAGTTTGAAATTTTGAATTATTGTTTTACATAGTTTAAGTATTTGTTGGAAATTTTTACACTTATTCTTGCATTTGATGTGATTTAAATGTCTTACATGAATTATAATTAGTTAGATATTGAATTCGTCTATTAAATTTTTATCTATTTCAAAATTTAAAAAATAAAATTCCAACAATCTTTGCATTTTTTTATAATTCACATTGTTTATCGCTAACTTCAAAGAGTCTCAACAAGTTAAAATATATTATATTTTAATTTTACTATATTAAAACAAATGTTAGATATATTTACATCTTCAATAAATATTTCTACGACTAATTTAAGAAAAACTTAAAGACTCTGCCCCAACTATGTAAACTTTTGATTTACCTTAACTTCATCAATATTTTACCATGCTCGTTAAAATTAATTAATGCGTAAATTATACAATACAAATATGGCTCAATTTCTATGATAAATGTAGGTGGAGAAGATTCCAAAGTCATTTGAATCTGTTGATAAGTATCTTTGTTCGTACATCTTTCCTTTACTAGAAGAAACACGTGCCGAACTTCGTTCCGCCACCGAAACTGTATGCAATGCACCTTCTGCTAAGGTGGCATCTTTTACGGAGCGAACACACGGGAAATTCATGTTCAATGTTAAGGTTGATCAATGGAGAAATGTTGCCAGTGGTTTTGGTAGTGAGCGGCACAGAATCTTGCCGGGTGATGTTGTTCTTCTTTCGGATTCGAACTCCGAAACTATTTCTCGCTCACAACTTATCGGTGGGACATATATTTTTGCATGTATAAATAATATCAAGAACGATGATAGTTTCGTACTCAAAACCGCCGAGCAGATTGGATGTTAAAAAAAAGCCGCGCTATGTGGTTCACTTGATGAACATAATTCCACATAAAAGAATATGGAAAGCGTTACGTATGCGCCGGAATTTGAACGTTATCGAGAAATCACTCGCCGCGAATGACTTGGTAAGGACTACTTTATTACTCGTTTTTTTTCTTTCAAAATCGTGCATGAATTGATTGTTGGAAATTTTGAGTGTTAGACTCGATTTTTGTTGATTATTTAAGTGTATTAAATTTAGTTTCTCAAAATTAATTTTAATGAATGAGAAATTAATAAAATCACTTAATATAATATATGGAAAATGAAGAAGTGAAATGCCACCATTGAAAATTTTGGAGGGTTTAATCACCTATTAAATGAAATAGGTGTTTAATTAATGAGAAAATGTGTGATAACTTTTCATGAAATTATTAATCTAAGAGCTGCGAGTTGCGGTCATAACCTTTGAAAATCTATAAATAGATTCTAAAATCCACCATTTGAATAATTCATTTTTCACATGGAATTCAATTCATAAATTGAATTCACTTCTCATCATAGCATCTCATTGCGTATTGTTGCATTTATCAAGTCCATTTCTTATAAAGTCCAAAGCTCTCGTTTTGTTCGCCTGTACATCGAGCCTTGTTATGCTGCAAACTCGAATACCCACAAGTCGTTGTATCTTGAGAACAATTGGCTAGAACCGTTAGCACTAATACGAGTCAATAATGTCTTATGGAGAAAGAATCTAATTCTTGTCTCGACTTCTTTTTTCGTTCATTAAACTCTGTCCAATTGCATTTCGAAATATGCCTCACATAGTGTATATATTTACCAATTAAATAGGGAGTGGAAATGTGTGAAGTTTGCCCTTTCAAATACAATGTTGAGATGGAGGAGAAACTGCGATCGAGTTTATCGTCCAAGTTAAACGAATCGCAGCTCGACGCGATTTCGGCATGTCTATCCAAATCCGAGTGCAGCCACAGGTCATCGGTCGAACTCATATGGGGTCCACCCGGAACTGGAAAAACATCAACCTTAAGCAACTTGCTTCATCTTCTCCTGAAAAAGAACGTTCGGACACTCGTTTGTGCACCGACAAATGTCGCAGTTAAAGAACTCGCCTCTCGTGTGGTAGCACTAGTAAGAAACTCTGTTTTAACCGAGTCTCGAGACAACCTATTGCCTTGTCCTTTAGGAGACATGTTCATATTTGGAAATAACGATCGTTTTAAAGTTGGCGCCGACATCGAAGAAATCTATTTGGATTATCGTGTTAAGAAGCTTGTGCATTGCTTATCGACAATAACCGGTTGGAAGCAATGCGTTGCATCGATGCTCGATTTTCTTGAAGACTGTGTTTCTCATCATCAAATCTTTGTGGAGAATAATAATGGGCTAATCAAATCACTTTTGGAGTTTGCCAGAGATCGATTTCCACGTTTAGCAACACCACTGAGAGATTGCATGTTGACGCTAATCACTCATTTACCAACAAGGTTCGTTCGCGAGCAGATATATCAAAGCATAATGCAACTTATGTCTCTTCTCGATTCTATCAAGACGTTGTTGCTTGACGACAAGAGCATCTTGACATCTGAAGAACTCGAGAGAATCTTTTTAATACACGAGGGAACTAATTGCGTTGATACATCGTCCTTAATATATATCAGAAGACAATGTATAAATGTTCTGAAATCCGTTAGGGCTTCTCTAGATAAACTCGGCCTTCCGAATGCCGTTGATTTTTGTTTCGGAAACGCTAATTTAATATTTTGCACCACTTCAACTGCATATAAGCTGCACAAACGAAAAACTGAACTTTTCCAAATGTTGGTGATTGATTATATTTGATTAACTAATTTCATTATATTAATTATTAATTATAATATTTTTTATATTCGCGCAGATATCGGAAAAAGCTGGATATGGGAGAAGTATGTTTGAAAGATTGAGTTTGTTAGGTCACCCTAAGCATCTTCTTAATGTGCAATACCGAATGCATCCGTCAATAAGTTGGTTTCCGAATTCGAAATTCTATCGGAACCGAATATTAGATGCGCCTATTGTGCAGCGCCGAAGCTACGAAAGATGCTATCTTCAAGGGAGGATATACGGGCCTTATTCGTTTATAAATATTCCCGGGAGTAACGAAGAATTTGATGATTTCGGGCGCAGTCGAAGAAATATGGTTGAGGTGGCTGTAGCTGTGACGCTAGTGCACAAACTATTCAAAGGTATGCTAAGAATGTTCATTGGAAACCTCATCAAATTCTTGTCGTGCCATGAATTTGAGGCCAAATAAGTGCATCATGAACTACTTATATTCAGTGAAAACTTCCGAAAGTCGTTTCAGAAATTGAATCCTTCCAATGTTAAGAATCTCGCGATAACTGTTTTACTTAAGCTTGCAAGTGGTTGGCGGCCCAAGAATATAAACGTTGACTGTAAATGCGAGAGCTCTTCGTATATTGTGAAGCAAATTAAGGTTGCAAATTACTATGTTGTGTGCTCAATCGACTTAGTTAAGGACCCTGTTTACGTACAAATTTTCAAAGTGTGGGATATATTGCCTATGATGGAGACTGCAAAACACTTGAAAAGACTGGACAACATTTTTTCTATGTATACGGATGATTTTATCAACCGCTGCAATCAGAAGTTGTGCGATGGGTACGTAAATTAATTTACAATTTTTCATTTTTTCCACTTCAAAAATCTTGATTGGTCGCAATAAATTCCGTTTTTTTATTTACTTATTTTTTTTCAGAAATTTGGAGGTTCCAAAGAGTTGGTCGGTTACCGATGATATAATCCGGTTCAAGAATCAGAACGACACCAAAGTCAATGCTAGCGTTGACTGCAGAAGTCATGTTGAAAATGCCAAAGTGAACGAGAGCTTACTGCTGATGAAATTTTATTCATTGTCGAGTGATGTTGTGAATCATTTGCTTACCGATGTCGAGGGCAGAGAAGTGGATCTCCCGTTTGAGGTTACCGACGAAGAGCGTGCAATAATAATGTTTCCAAGGAGCAGCTTTATATTAGGTCGATCTGGCACCGGAAAGACGACTATTTTGACTATGAAGTTGTACCAGAAGCTTCATCAGTACTCCATTGCCTCACGGGATTCTGTGACAGCTGGCGATGCTGTGCCTATTTTGCATCAGCTTTTTGTTACCGTTAGTCCAAAACTCTGTTATGCTGTCAAAAAACACGTATCTCATCTAAAGAGGTGCGTTTGGAGCTTCAATTCATCGTCTCTTTTTTTTTTCAATATGTCGTTATATGTCGTTTTACATTAGAATGTGGAAATGGCCAAAATAGCAAGAAATGTGATTCCATTTACTTCAAACCTGAAATAAATGGAACCTTGATAACAAACAATATGTTCTGTTTGAATCGTATACTGACCTTTACTTTACTATTTGTACAGCTTTGCTAGTGAGAACGCCTCCGAAAATAACAACTTCGCGGATATGGATGATTTAGACGAAATGGCTGAATTTAGAGATATACCGGACACATTTGTTGGCATCGAACCAGAAAAATATCCTCTGATCATAACATTTCATAAGTTTTTAATGATGCTCGATGGTACTTTGGGTAATTCTTACTTTGAGAGATTTCATGATGTAAGAGGCTCATCACAGTACGAAGGAAGAAAATCTATTGCACTGCAGACTTTCATAAGGAGAAACGAGGTTACTTCACTACAAGAAAAAATGGTTTTAGGGACGATTTGTTATGGTTGCTAAAAGCAAGATAATGGTCGCTGAAACTTATAACGACCAAATTAGGCTTGGTCACTTGTGGTCACAACAGGGTGGCTACTAAAAGTATTAGTGACCAGCAAATCAGTTGGACGCTAAAGACATAGATCTAGCGACCATTCAATAATGGTCATTAAAGATGTAATTATTAGCGACAAATTTTTTACTCGCTAATGTTAAAATTTATGGTCGCTATAATATTAATATGGTTGCTATAGGTATACATACAGTAACCACATATTTTTGGTTGATAAATGATATTCTTTTAACAACCGAGTACGTGGTTACAATAGATTTTATATGGTCACAAACGTAACGTATTTTAGTGACCACGTTGCGACCAATAAATTCGTTGCTCAATATAATAATTTAACTACAAGAATAGTTGGTTGCAATAAATTTTAATTTGTCACAAATATACCCCCATTGTTTGCATATAATAACCAAAAATAACAATTAATAATTCTTATTTGCAAAACAATCAAATAATGAACGAAAAACAATTGTTTATTGCTACTAATGACAAAAACCAAATAATAATTGTGAGGAAAAAAAATTGAATTGATAGCTGGTTACTACATATTAGCACCTAACTAATTAATTGTTGACAGGTGAATTAAATCAGTGATCAATATATATACAGTAGCAACCAAAGAAACCAAACACTGCCTCGCCGATTAAATTGAACTTAAAACCGCTGACAACATTCACATCTGGAACTTGATTGAAGTAATATCATTAGCTTCAACTGCCTCTGCCTCTCTACGGGTGCCTGAAATTGGGTGCCTGGAATTGGATGCCACAGAGAATCAGAAGATATACATGCAATTGTTTTCCAAATGTAGTGATCATATAAGCAACAAAAGCAACAAGGAAAATCTTATGTAATGAATTGATTTACCTTATCAGTAGAGCCACCAACTAAACTTTAGCCTCAACTGCAAATTTGGCATTTATAAGTTATAACCTACATAAGAGATGAAAACAGGGATTCAAGTTTATGAGAAACCAATTCCAATGAATTTATCATAAGGAAACATGAAACCAAGAGTTGACTCGTGTTTGTTTGACGAGTTCTCGAAACAAAGGTTTAAAACATTTGTTTCCAGAATTTCTTTGAAAAATCATAACAATTGGTACGATTATCCAAATTGGGAATGTAATATGACAAATGAAAGCTAACAACTTCACCTACATGTTCACTGAAGACTCTCACCACAAATTATGATCCTAGCATATTCAAAACAGGCCCAAAAGATGATTACAGAAAACTGCCAGAATTTCGGATAAATTCTCTTTTCTGGTATAGTTTATTGTAAAATTCATAACTATTTGTAAAGTTATCCAAATTGGCCAAACAATTTACCAAATCAAAGCTGACAACTTCATCTAAAAGTTTACGAAAGAAATATATCCCAAATTATTATCCTAAGACGGTAATAAAACCCAACGGAGATGATTCATCAAAACTGCCCTTTTTTTGGCAGACTCACTGCCGTCAAATTCTCATCTCTAAAAGGCTATAAAAATTGCTCGAATTAGAAGCAATTTAACACTTACATATAATTATCACGGTCCTCTACGAGTTTTGTGAAGAGACTGATTAGAAAATCTCACTCCAAACCCTTCGATTTCGACTCCGAAAACAGGTGCGGCAGAAGGTTTACTATTTCTCATAATTTCGCCAACATAGCTGTCGGGTTAAATTTGGTTATATAACTTGAAGAAATAACTAACAAAGTCTTTCTCAAATAACAAAGTCTTCTCACCTCGAGTTAGCACCAAAAGCAACATCATAGACCAAAATTTTCTTAGGTACACAACCACGAATGACACACCTGAAATAAGAATCCATTAGTTTCTTAAACTTCACCTTCGATCACATTACTTTAAACTTGTTGCTCAATGTGCATAAGACAAATTTCAAATAACTAATGACTCAAATAACTAATGACACATATAGATGCTAACTATGGATAGTAAACTAGAAACCAACGATATTTGTTGTCACATTTTCTTCCAAAAATCGTAGCAGGCCGTATGCTTATCCAAATTGGGAAAACAATATACCAAATAAAAGTTCACAACTTTATCTACAATTGTGATGAAGATACCAACCCCTAATTACTAAGATAACACAACAATAACAGCCCATAAAGTTGAATACATGAAACTGCCAGAATTGTTTTGGACAAACTTGTTTGTTGTCACAGTTTATTTGAATAATCATAACAATTTGTAGAGTTATCCAAATCGACCAAATAATATACCAAATCAAACCTCACAACTCAATATACAAAACATCAGAAGACACATAGCCTAAATTATTATTCCAACATAACAAAAACAGCTCCGCATGATGATTAGGCAAAACTGCCCTGTTTTTTGACAGATTCGTTGTCGTCTGATTCCGACCCCTAAAAGGCTATAACACGTGCTCAAATCGGAAATAATTAAACACTTACTCACATTTTTCGAGGTCCTCTACGAGTTTCGAGATGGAATGATTCCCAAATTCACACTCCAAACCCTTCGATTTTGGCTCCGAAAACAGATGCCGTAGCAGATTTTATTTCCCTTTCCGGTGAGCATGCTGAATTTCACACCAAATTTCGGCGACCACCGTCGAATAAAACTGCCTAGCACCACCATTAATGGGAAGCTAACTTCTCGAGGTTTGTAACAGTACCTTCTATCATCAATACTCCACCGTTAACACCTCCGTTCATTTAATTCTTTGAAGAGCCAAAAGTTGAACACCAGATAACGGCCACCATCGGCGACCTCTGCCGGAAATCACCAACACCGGTGTACATCTGAACCCACAATTATTCCAAAGGTGGGTCCTGATCGACGAGATTCATTCTCGAAGGTCTCCAAACTATTATTTTTCCTTAAAACCCAAATCTGAAATTATGTTTTCAAATCCCAATTCTTTTCCTGTAATCAAATCTTCCGAATCTCCTGAATGAATTCGAGAATTCTCGAACAAGGGTAGGAACTAGGGATTGGAGAAATTGGGTGAAATAGGCGAATACTTTTGGGGAAAACAAAAGAGGTAAGATAAGAGGGATTTTGGTGCAAACATATTGAAGAAATTAAGAGATAATTTTTTCTTGATTTTCTGTAATATTATGCGAGAATGGGTAGAGGGCGAAAGAGAGCGTAAGGAGAGAATGAACGGAGTAATATTCTGTGATGAAGAAACGAAAGAATTATAAATGGCTGTATTCTTTTTATTATTTACATTTTCGCCCCCATCTTTATTTTATTTTCTTTTCTTTCATTGATTTGTTTAAAAACTAAACTAGGGACCAAATTCATTTGATTTCCGTAAGTAGTTTCATAGTAACCAAATTCAAGTGGTTGCTAGCAACCCAATTAAATGGTTGTTAATAATTAAATTAAAGACTCGTAGCAACCGTAAAAAAAATTGATGTTAACTTGGTCACTATTGACACTAAATTATAGTGACCATAAAAATTGTCGCTACAAACTTTAACTTTAGTTGCTACAAGATGTTTAACTATTAGTGACCACATATAGCTACCAAATGCTCGCTGGTCGCAAAAAGATTTAACCCTTCCCACTTTTGCTACAAAATTACTTTTGGTCACTAAATGTGAACATTCAGTGACCATTTATTTATGGTCGCTAAGAATTTGGTCGCTAAAACTAGTTTTTCTTGTAGTGCTTATGACCGTTTTCGGTCCTTATATTGGCCCCATTTCAATGCTAAGCATACAAAAATTCTCGATCCCTCAAGAGTGTTCACTGAAATTATGTCGCATATCAAAGGAGGTCTAAAAGAAGGGGAATCGGGCGAAACCAAGCGAAGCAGGGAGGGGTACGTTTCACTATCTGAAAGTAGGGTGTCAACTTTAAGTGCAGAGAAGAGGGATGCGATTTATGATATTTTCGACGACTACGAGAAAATGAAAGTGGAGCGTGGTGAATTTGATCTTGCTGATTTTGTGATCGACATTCATCTCCAGCTCAAGAACGAGGAGGATTAAATGGGTGATAAAATGGATTTCGTGTACATCGATGAAGTGCAAGACCTTACAATGCGGCAAACATCCCTTTTCCGATTTATTTGCAAAAATGTGGACGAAGGATTTGTATTTTGCGGCGATACAGCACAGACGATTGCACGAGGGATTGACTTTCGGTTTGAAGACATTAGATCATTGTTCTATAATGAGTTCTTTATGAAATCATCAAGAATTTGTGAGCCTTCAGCTTCAGGGAGGAGAGAGAAAGGGGTTATATCGCATACGTTTTGTTTATCGCAGAATTTCCGTACTCATACTGGTGTACTTAGGTTGGCACAAAGTGTCATAGATCTTATTTGCCATTTTTTTCCACAATCAATTGATGCATTGGCTCCAGAAACTAGCCTTATATACGGTGAGTCACCTGTTGTACTCGAACCGGGTAGTGACGAGAATTTGATTATGAGTATTTTTGGACATAGTGGACATGATGGTGGAAAATGGGTCGGGTTTGGTGCTGACCAAGTAATTTTAGTACGGGACGATTCTGCCAGAAACGAAATTTTCAACTACATTGGCAAACAGTTTTTGTAATTGTATCTGAACCACATTAAATTTGTGTTTTTTTTATGAACTGTCCCAACACCTAGCGTAAGTAACCGTAACAGTAAAAAAAAACTCTGACACAAATATATATAATATTTGCACGGAATAAAACTAACAATGTTTATAATTATGTTTCTACATTAATGTAAGAATTATTCTTGTAGGATGTTTTGTTGTACAACTTTTTTGGTTCATCACCAATGAGTGATCAATGGAGGGTTTTGTATGAATTTTTGAAAGAAAAGGATCTACTTGATTCCGCTACTCCAAAGTCGTTTCCAAGTTTTAGCGAGTCGAGGCACAACATCTTGTGCTCTGAACTGAAGCAACTATACGTGGCGATCACTCGAACGAGGCAAAGATTGTGGATATGTGAAAACAACGAAGAGCTGTCGAAGCCAATACTCGACTATTGGAGAAGGTTGTGCCTTGTCCAAGTGCGGAAAATAGACGATTCTCTTGCATTAGCAATGCAAAGAGCTAGCAGCCCCGGGAGTGGAAATCACAAGGAGTCAAGGTTTTTTGAATTGTATTTTCCCGGTTTTTTTTTTTTTTATATATTTTTTGCGTTATTTATTCTGATTGTATTTTTATTTTTGCAGCTCTTTTGGGAGAAAAATTATGAGATGGCAACAGTGTGCTTCGAAAAAGCTGGAGAAGAAACATGGGAGAAAAGGGCTAAGGCTTCTGGTCTTAGAGCTTCGGCAGACTCTATGCGTGGTTCAAACCCAAAAGAGGCACGTGTAATGCTTAGAGAGGCTGCCGAAATATTTGATTCTATTGATCGAGCTGATACTGCAGTAGAATGTTTTTGCGACTTAGGGGCGTACGAAAGAGCAGGTACACTGATTACTGTCTACTATTGGAATATTACTGTATTACACAAGAGTAGTGATTTTTGTTGTGTTTACATAGTAATATAACAATATTATTGTGTTAAACAATAACATACTTAATATTACTGTCAACAACATGACAGTAATATTACTGTTTAAACGGGCCATAAAATGTTATAAAAAAAAAAGTCAACGCCGCCGGAGACCAGCTTTGATCGCCGGTCAGCAGCGGCGGAAAAAAGAAAAAGGAAAATCAACATCAGAGACCGGAGGTCAATGGCGGCAATGGTCAAAATTGTAGTCAAAATTACATAATTGGTGAAATTTGCGGTCAAAATTAATGTTAAATTGAATTATATGATGAAATTGGAGCATATTAAAATGTGAGGGGCATTTTAATATGTTACACACCTCTGAATATTGTTCGGATTTTTATGAATAAGTCCAAAAGTGAATAATACCTAATACCAAATGTACCCAGTCTTGGTCTTATGTTGCATGATTTTTTTATTTTACGAACGCTACAAAGAAACTTGGAAGATTTTACTCATATTAAAAATCCTAAATTCGACATCTAACTTAGCGTTGATAAAATTTAGATTATACGAGAGGAGGAATTACAAGCTAAATTAGAGGAGTATTTGTAAATTTTAAGCGTTCGTATAAATCAATTTTGACGAGTTTGCTAGCTACATCAGTAGGGTAAAATTCAAATGTTCGAGTGAAATGCTACTTTTGCATAGTTATTGCATATAAACAAAAAGTCGTAACCGGTTGATTTTTTTTATTTAATTTTCTGGTGCAGGAAGGATTTATTTGGAAAAATGTGGTACGTCTGAGCTTCGAAAAGCAGGGGAGTGCTTCTCATTAGCTGGAAATTACAAACTTGCCACCGAAGTTTATAACAAGGGGAATTTTTTCGAGGAGTGCTTATCAGCTTGCACCAAAGGCCATCATTTTGACCTCGGTCTGCAATACATCGAGCAATGGAAACAACAAGCATCATTCGATACCGGAATTATGACAAGATTTAAGGAGATCGACAATATTGCACAACAGTTTCTCGAAAAATGTGCTTTGGAATGTCGTAAGAAAAAGGACAGTGCATCAATGATGAAGTTTGTTCGTGCTTTCTGTACGGAGGAATCGAAACGCAACTTCTTGAAGTCAAGGGATTGCCTTGAGGAGCTTCTATTATTGGAGGAAGATTCCGGAAATTTTATCGAGGCTGTAAAGATTGCACAACAGTTGGGGCTTATTTTACGCGAGATTGATTTGCTCGAAAAAGCTAAGGACTTTCGAAATGCTTCTTTGCTCGTAATTTCGTATGTATCGAATAACTCTCTTTGGGTGTATGGAAGTCAAGGTTGGCCTCTAAAATCATTTCCTGAAAAGGAAGAGATTTTAGCGAAAGCTATTTCCGATGCAAAGAAGGTTTCGGAAAATTTTCTTGCAACAATTTGTGCCGAGGCTAAATTTTTGTCAATGAGTTATAGGATGAACTTGTCCGAGTTGATGCTGTGTTATATTGCTTCGAAGCAATATAAATCTCGTATGGTCGAAATTCTATCCGTCAGAAAATTCCTCGATGCCCATTTTCAAGTGCATCCGACAAAATACGAATCGGATACTGAATTAATGCTCATTGATCGAAGTTCATTCGAAGAAAGAATGTCGAAGAACAAAGTCTCTGATGGAACGCTGGTTTTCGTTTGGAACCTATGGAAGGTGCAAAGCTTGGAGATCTTCGAATGCCTCGACTCTATCGAAAGGGCTGACCTCAGCGAATGTGAAGATACTGCTCGATTCTGTTTTAACTACTTTGGAGTGAGGTCGGCAAATAACTCGAGGGACACCTATATATTGCTCAACCCTAATTCTGCATGGGTTCGAAATTTCGACAAGAGGTTCATTTTGCGGAAAAGAAATGTGGCAACTACTGATGCCCGTCATTTTGCATCAGCTGCTCGAGAATATTGGTGTCAAGAAATAGTTTTGACTGGACTACGAGTTTTGGAGGCTCTTCAATCTCGTTTGATGAAGCCCTCGTCGTCTATGTACTGCCAAAGTGTGTGCATCGTTCACATTTTCGACATAACAAGGTTCGTCGAGTCGAAATCACTAACCATGAAACTGCAGAAATTTCTGTCGTTATGCATCGAGTCCAAATACTTCCAATTTGTTTTTCCGTTGGACCCTCGACAGTCAGTATCTGAGGATATGGTATCTTTAAGGGAAACCGAATTTTCCAATAATTTACTCGAAGAACTTATCTCGATAAATATTGTTAGCTCAACGAATAATAATGAACTCAGTTATGGGCGTATAGGAGAGGCGGTGATGACAATGCTCGGGTCTGGATTATTGCAGAGAAACGGAATTCATGAGAAAATTATTACAAGGCTGTCTGCAAACTCGTCGTGGAAGTCATTCATCGAGAATCTGATCAGTGTGGAAGAATCTTCGAAAGATTCTCTTAGTCGCGAGTTTCATAATGCACTTGTAGAAACTTACAACATAAACTGGAGGGCGAGTGACTATATTTCTCCGAAATGTTTCTTTTATCTTGTGGAGAGGCTCTTGATTTTGTTACCCCACTCCCGAGGGTTTTTTTTCACTACGAAGTCGTCGCTCGTGGAGTATTTAATGTGCCTTAAACCGGATGCTAACCTGAGTTACGGTTTCGTCACGGACAAGAAATCGTATGCAGCAGACACGTTTAACTTTGTGGCGAGTGTGGTCAGAGAATGCCTTTATAACAGTCAGTCTACATTAGAATGGATTTATCGTTCTAAGATCGACGTCAACTACTATTTTCCAGTGCTTATGCTGAGGATGTTCATGATTCTGTGTTTATCGTGTCTGAATTCGGAGTTGTCGTTCAACGTACTTTTTGAGGTGATTCAAGTACCTCATATCCAATGCCAGCTGCCGTGGAATTTTTGCGAAGCGATTTGGTGTAGAAGGATGAACAATGTGTCGGACGAAGCTGCGGTTGCTGGAGCATTCAATATTATCGGGGATCCACTTGTTATTGTAGCCTTGAACGAGAATAGGCTCAAGTTTGTATGCCCGAATGCCGTTTTTCTTGATTTGAAGTCCTTCTTGTGTAGAAATGAGGTCATCAAGAAACTATTTCCTAGGAGTGATAAAAAAGCTACCGTCGAAAGAAACGTTGTTAGTGAACAAGTTACCGTTACGAAATCTTCAAAACCGACATTGGAAACCGATTCACATTTGGAAAACTCGGGGATTGGAAAAGGGGATCTTCGAATAGAGTTAAATTGGGTTATTATTTGGGAACTGTTTGACGCATTTGAGTCGTTAAAGAATAGAAACGATGGAGATTCCAAGAGCCTTGTCCTGAGAAAGAAGGTAATAAGTGCATGCGATTTTAGTTTTTACCGTGTCGAATTATTGGCTAATATCTTTTCTGCTTTTTTTTTTCGATTTCTTTTAGGAGGAAGTGGAGGAGCATGTAAAGTTTGTAACTGCTTTTTACTCCGGAGAAGATGAAAATGCGCTGCACGAAACCACGACAATGATTGCGGGATTGACCGAGCTTTGTTCTTTGTTAGATTCGAGGTTAGTTGTAAGAAAATCATTTCGGAAATAACTAAATTGAAAAGAAAACGATTGATAAATCATGTTAACTCATTGTCATTATGATTACTAGCGACTTTGATAGTAAAGAGATGCTGGAAATGGGAGAAATGATGATTGAAGAAATTACGAAGGGATTGGAAGAGACAAGGCCTCGATTAATGTCGAGTTCGAATAACGATCCACTAAATGTAAGTACTATTGAATCTCAAGTGGCGGATTGTGACAAGACGATTCCTTCGAGTTCGGTTGTTGCTGATGATGACGAGGATGAAGACGCCAAAAATTATAGCAAAAATGGAAAAGGAAAGGGGAAGAAGAAACCGCAGTTGAAAAAGGGGAAAGGGAAAGGGAAAGGGAAAGGAGGTAAAAGAAAGTAAAAAACCTCATCTAAAGTACGTATTTTTGCTCCGTTTTTGAGCATCTCCGATGTTACTTTTTGTTTTAATCCCCGGGAGTCGAGTGCTCGAGTCGAGTGCTCGAATCGAGTAATTATCTCGTCTCATGTATTATAAAAATTAGCAAAAGATGTGCTCGTTATTAAGTAAAACAAATAACTAGATGCATGTTACACAAAGTAAAGTATCAAGCGATCGAAGCCATTACACACTCGAATCAATTTTAACTATCGACCGAATGAAATCATTATAATGAAATTTATTTAATTCAATATTCGAAGAAAAAAAAAACATACATAATCTCAAACGGTTCACGACATTATGTTGTATATAACTTGATGCCGTGGTCTTGTTCGAAGAGAGGCATGTCGTCGCGACTCAACTGCACCCACGCATCAATCCCGTCACCCTCTTTGTTATCCAATAGTATTACGCTGTTTTCAAGAGTCATTGTCCCGATTCGGGCGCCGACGGGCTTCCCCCACCCGAAATCGGCTTTGTAGAATCCAAACTTACTCCAATCGCTAAACATGATTGAATAACTAACCTCCCCACTCATTAGTTTCCCGTACATATCTTCCACGGGACCCATCATTACACTTCGCCAACGACCCGGAGAAAACATTTCGGCACAATCAGCTATGGTTTTTTCGAGAGCATCACCGAGAATATCAACGAGTTGTCGTTCGATCCCAATTACGACGTTATTGTTATTATTATTATTTGTTGTTTCGGCCGGAGAAATAAAGCACGGCGTGGGTGATAATAATATCAAATTCCCACAAGAGTGCTTTTGGAGAGGCGGGATTGTTCTCGAACGCATGTTCACCGCTTGCGACATGAGGCAAGATCTCGATTCTCCTCCGTGTTTCGCCCTGTCAACGCCGATCAACGCCTTGGCTACAACCGCGCACACCAGACGCACTCTGGAATTCTCGTGCTTTGTTTTGTCCCTTGTGACAATTTCGATCTAAGGATTGCGATCGCATCCTTGTCGAACGAAAATCTCTTGACGACAATATTAGGATCATAGGTTGTCCTAACGGGCGACGAATCCTGGTCCGGATTCGTCCCGGGAAACAACGATGGCGACTCGAAACTCGGGCGAATCCCGATCGGATGATTGTTATCGTTTGTGGCATTTGACCACGCGGCGACGAATGTCCCGAGAGAAGATGCATCGAAAATTCTGTGACAAACGCTGACGCTTATTACAAGCCCGCCACACGGCTTCAACTCCGTGACCTGGATCGATAAAAGCGGATCTTCCGAAGATTCGTCGGTTAGGTAGAATTTGCTCGGAAGGAGATCATTTAGTACTTCTTTGATTTCCAATAAATCGACCAACTCCACTTCGACGGCTTCTGCTTCTATGAACTCAACACCGTGATCACCGCAATCGACGACGTAGTCATTCTTGACGTATCTTCCGGCAAGAATGTAGAATTCGGGTAAGATTTTAGCCAACGATTCCTCCAAGCGATGTTTTCGAATATTTGACGACGTTGGGTAAAACAGAACGACGCCCACGTTTATCGGCGGGACGCGCTCGTCTACGAAAGACAACTTGTACTTGTTAAGGTTTGGAGGAGTTGGGGTACATGGTTTTATTAACTTCCTGCTAACAACCTTAACTTTCATGCTTGGATATATTGTTAGGGGTGAATTGATGGTTGTATTACATACATTTCTTGTGAGTAGTGTCTTTTATAAAGCTAATTAATTTTGAGCTGGCTTTAGGGAATTTACATGTGAAGGTTCTTGAGCAGCTAATGCCAAATGTCCAGCCATGCACTATTAAAAAAATATTGGGTAAATTACGGCCACCCCTGAGGTATGATCAAATTACGAAAAAACGCTCTCTTGTTTGGGTAATTATAGTCACCCCTCCCTTTTTAAATAGTTTTACATAAAATTTATGTAATTCGGTTATTTACCGAACCAAATCGTCTATTCATTTCGGTAAACGGTATGAAATGTTGGCGTACCGAAATTTTGGTTCGGTTTTACCAATTTAACATCCCTAAATTTATCTCTGGAGGGGTTTTTTCGTAGGATAATACATTGTTGAGGGGTGGCTGTAATTACCCAAATAGGAGGGGGGTTATCGTAAGTTGACCATAACTCAGGGATGGGTGTAATTTGCCCAAAAAATATTATGAGGGGTAAAATACGGTTTTCATCCTTCAACTTAGTACTAGTTTCACATTTGATCCCTCATGTTCACAAAAAAATACATTTAGTCCCTCATGTTTAAAAAATAAAACACTTCTAGCCATTTCCGTCAAATTTCCCGTTAATACTAACATAATCGAGTATGTGTCCATCATTTCCTTAACTGAGGAATTAACAATAAATTGACGGAAATGACCAAACATTTAAATTATTGAAACGTGAGGGGTTAAATGTGGTTTTTTGTGAACATGGAGGACCAAATGTGAAATCAGTACAAATTTGAGGGATGAAAAACTGTAATTTTCACTATCATGAGAAATAATGAAAAGTACAGTTGGATTTAAATATGCTTAGTCGCCCAGAAGTGGGTATAATGTTAACGTCTGATGAGATAATTAATATGGGCCAATTAGATATAAAATCGTTAAATTAAATTTTCATGTACCACACGATAGTTTTAGGTTTGGATTAGAGTCCCTCAAATTACGCTGTTAGTCTGGGTTTGGCAGCAATTGTCTATGTGAGGGAGGCCTGGGTATGGGTGGCCCACAATCGAATGTCGTTGGCGCTTATGTGTGTTGAGTGCATATAAAGTTAGAATTTGCGCATTTTCTAACACCAATTGATTTTATGACAACTTGTAGCACCTAGGATCCTACATATGTTTTCCTATATATCCTGGTCCTTTTGTATTTGACTTGGATCCAATAATTTCAAACCCGCTTGCGTGTAAATCGCCGAAGTCAACTGAGTTGGTAGACTGGTTTGGTCGGTAGAATAGGTCAATTTCTAGATCCATTTTGAGAATGAATCCTTTCAAATTTGAGAAAATATAAAACACGAAAGTTTTAGCCCTTTGAGTTGTAGCCCAAATCATATTGATCGAAGATACGATCAAATGAAAATTACACTGAATCATGTCAAAGGGTCGACCGAACTGGTCAACTCAGTAAGTCACACTAATTTGGTGGACTAATTAAGTAGGTCAAGTTCAAGCTCGATTTTGATAGTGATGCCGTTTGAATGTAAGAAAATATAAACCATAAGATTTTTAGCTCTTTGAGTTGGAATCATTTTGAATTATCTTTGATTGAAGATCGGATGAAAAACAAATACGATCAAAATACTAACAAAAAGTATGTCGAAAGGTTGGTTCAATAGGTAAAGGTTAGCTGAGTTGGTCGACTGAGTAGTTTAATTTCAAGCTCGATTTTGACAATGATCACATTCGAATTTGATCGAGAATGCATAAGTGGCGTGGTTTATTTCACTATAAATTACATAGGATTCACTAATTGTGGCATGCCAAAAGACAATTTGTTTAGCTACAAAACTAAGTCAAACCAGAGAAGCTGCAATAGCAAATCAGAATCACTAACATGTTGAACATATTCTTTGTATTTATTTCCTTAGTTTTTCGGCCTCTCATTTTCAGGGCGTTAGATGTGACACCTGGTTATTTATATCGGGTGAATTTGAACGTAGATTTAATTATATAAATACACACTAAGCATGCATACACATGGGTGCATTTTTTATTATGTATAGATCTACAGATCAAATCCACGCAATATAAATAATCAGACGCAACATCTAATTAATCTGAAAATATCATTACATGCATTACTCGAGCTTTATTTTTTTTATCCACCATTCCGCCAAATTAGGATCATGTGAAAATTCAACTATGTATACGTCAACATCCAGCCACGCACCATAATTAAAATAGTAACACGAGGCATTATGTAAGAAAAGATATATAGTTGATAGTTGAAAATACACTTGTGAAGTATGACGAGGATTAAGCTAGAATTAACCAACTCATTTAAGAGCCATCTTGTTAATCAATAATGGAAGACGTTGATTAAGGGATAAATGATAAATTATTCGAGGTTATTTGAGTCTTTAACAAAAGCAAAATTAACCTTCAATGCTACTAAATTATCTCTGTCTTTTGCTTTAGATATATTTTGATGGATATAAAATACCCCATCTGTTTCACAATATTTGTGTCTTTTAGGATTTTTTTGTTTTTTCCATATTATCTGTAATTTTACAATTCCAAGGCTGTATTAATTACATATTTTTCAATTATACCCTTGTTAACTTTTCAACACTCTTTCTGCATTAATTAGTATTTGTTTTCCTAAAATCCAGATATACTTATTGAGATTCTTAAGACTTGTGTCAATGTGAAAAACGACACATATTTAGGAAAATATGGAGTATTACTTATTGAGTTTAGGGTTGGCGTTTTGCTAAAGTCAAACCTAACCTTAACCAAATTGCGTTTTACTGAGTTTTCAGAATTTTCAATTCAAACCTTAATAATTTTAGAAAAGCCCTCTCTCTAAATTGCAATTTTTATAATTTCTCAAAACTTCATCATCTTCTTTCTCCCTCTCATTCTTCAGATATGCTCCTCGCCAAAAAAAAAAAAAAAAAAGAAAAAAAAAAAAGAAACAATATACAGCGGTTCATCTTCATAACCAGCCCGTTTGCAAAAGAAGAAAAAACAACAAAAGTTGATTTCTTCATCTAAACTCGCCGGCAGACAAAGGCACTTCAAGCACAAAAAACATAGGCCCCAGCAACACACACACACGCACAAAATGTAACTCGATCCAAAATCTTGATTTACAAGAGATCTGGATGAATCCATCAAACATAAAGCATAGTCTTTTTTTGGGGTGGGAAGGCAGGTGGTGAGGTGGTGGTGGTGATGCGGCGACGGAGGGCTCGATGGAAGAATTGGGTTGGGGGAGGAAGATGATGGCCGTGGGTGATAATTTTTTTTTTCTTTTTGTATTTTATTTATTTAATTGAAACATAAATTATTAAACAACATGGGGTTAGTTTAGTCATTTCATATAAGTCAACTGTTAATTTCAAAATAAGAAGTAGTGTGCTTTGTTAAAAATAATATAAGGGGGTCTACGCTAATATTTTTAACACGATGGGTTTTTTAGCCATTCGAGATTTCACAGGGCGTTCTATGCAATTATCTCGTTCATTTCCATCTAAAGTTTTAAGAATATTGAGCACAAAAGATACTAGTTGAAAATCATCAAGATGCTGAGGTTTTCTAATGGTTCTCCTAGTTCTATCTCTAGTCAATTGATAGTTATCCAAATTATCATTAACGTTAAGGCACATTAGATTCAACATTTTGATCATACACATTTTCAGCAATTTGATCAGATTCATTTTCATAGTCATAATTATCATTTTAATCACAAAAAGTATCAGAAGAAGGAATCTCCACCTCATTTGAGCCAAAATCAACAATAACAATATTTGGAGCAGGCAACAAGGAAATTTATTTTCATTAAACATAACACTTGTACTCATAATCAAGATCTAAAAACCTTTACTCTTTAAGATAACCAAAAAAACACACTAATTAACAGATCTTGGTTCAAGTTTATCATGTTTTTATGCACAAATGCAGTACTACCAAACACTTTCAAGTTGGATAGATCAGCGGGTTCACCAGACCACACAGGTTCAGGCAAATTACCACTTAATGGCACGTGAGGAGATTTAGAGGGTGTTTAGTTAAATTTATTTTAAACAGTTGATAAGTTCTTACATCTGATAAGATGTTTTAAGAGTTAATAAGCTGTTTTAGGATTAATATTTAGAGTGTTTGGATAATGAGCTTATTTTTTATTTTTACTCATTATAAGAGCAACTCCAATGGGAGTATCAAATGGATTATCAAATCCATAAACCACCTTTCTGATATCCCGAAATAAAAAATTTCTACTCCAATGGAAGTATCAAAATGAGTAAGTATTTTGATATTCTAGCTTTTTGAATGTAAAAATACATCCTGGAAATTGAGTTATCAAAAAGATAACTACTTAAACATCCAATAACAAAATGACACGTGGCAATTACAAATAAAACCACTAAAAAACTTCCAATTGATTATTAATTTTGATAACCATGGTTGGAGTAGATAAATTGTAAATGAATATTAAAATATTATCTTAATTATCAAATGAGTATTTGATAATCCAATTTTGATGTTTAGCATTGAAGTTGCTCTAAGATCTTAAATAAAAAGGTAGGGTAGATGTACTTTTTTAAAGAGATCTTATTTGCTCTTAACAGCTTAAAAAATTAAGATTTTTTTTTTTAAATTACCAAACACTTTGGAAGAGCTTATAAGCTCTAAAACATCCTATAAACTACTTTTAACATCTTATAAGCTTAGCCAAACACCCTCTTATTAATGATATATGCATCAGCTAAGAAAGTTCACCTTACTTGATTTTTCCAATGGGTGGTGGTGGTGGTGGTGGTCTTTCTAATTTTCCCTATAATGAATTTTATAAATGATGTGAACCAAATATTTATTTGGGCTTGCCATTTAGTTATAATAAGTTTTATCACTATTTCCTCAAAGTATTTACGAGATGAAATCCATCTTGTGGGGCTCGATCCTACTCGTGATGATCGATTAATTTATACCCTATACTTTTATTCTGATATAGCTATATCTATGTGGAGATACATTGGTGCATCATTTCACAAACCCTACGTTGTTTCTTCGGTCTTGCAGCCGATTAATATTTGGACGGGGAAATCGATCGGGTTCTACTAACCAAATTTGCCTCGTTTGTCTTGGCATATGCTTCTTTGGCTTCAATTCGGCAAGGACGAATCGACCATTGGATAATTGATTGTTAAAAATCCGACATCAATTTTCCAGATATGCTTACAATAGGAGAAGTTCAACACATGGCCATACAATAACATACTTAAGCACACGCACACACACACATAAAGTGTGTAAAATGTGAGACGAGAAAATTAATACTTGATTCGAGCATTCAACCCCGGGGCTTAAAACAAAAAGTAACATCAGAGATGCTCAAATAGGGAGCAAAAATACGTACCGTAGACAATGCTTTTTTTACTTTCGTTTACCTCCTTTTCCTTTTCCTTTCCCTTTTTTCGGGTGCTGTTTCTTCTTCTTCCCCCCGTTTTTGCTATTATTTTCTCCATCTTCATCCTCGTCGTCATCAGAAACAACACAACTTTGAGATCCGACAGTACTCACATTTGGCCTTCTTTCTTCCAATCTCTTCAAAATCTCTTCAATCTTGAGCATGCCCGCTTTAGTATCAAAGTCACTGCAATCATGACAAAGGCTTTAATACGATATTATATATCAATCGTATATATTCTCTCACTTTTGTTATTCCAAATGATATTTTTTTTACGACTAACCTCGTGTCTAACAAAGAACAAATCTTGGTCAGTTCATCAATCCTGGTGGTGTTTTCGGCCGGCACATCATTTTCATCTTCACCGGAGTGAAACCGAGACCTCTTCCGCTCACTTAACTTTGCCATGTCACCAGTTAAAAACTTTATATGCTTCTCCACTTCCTCCTGAAAAAAAAAAAAAAAAACAAGCAGACGAGAGATATATCATACACATAAAAAAAAAAAAAAAATTATCAGCCGATTATTAACTCCCCGAATAAAAAAATAAATAATAATAATAATTTCACCTACCTTCTTTATCATGACAAGGCTCTTCGAATCTCCATCGTTTCTATTCCGTAAGGCGTCAAGTAATTCCAGAATAATACCCTCTGTCATTTTAGAAGATTCCGTAACTTGTTCACTAACAACATTAGGTTCGACGCTAGCTTCTTTATCACTGCTCTTGGGAAATAGTTTTCCGATGACCTCATTTCTACACGAGGACTTCAAGTCAAGAAAAACGGCATCGGGGCATACAAACTTGAGACGACTATTCTCGTTCGAGGCTACAATAACAAGAGGATCCCCGATAATATTGAATGCTCCAGCAACTGCAGCTTCATCCGACACATTGTTCGTCCTTCTACACCGAATCGCTTCGCAAAAATTCCGCGGCAGCTGGCATTTGATATGGGGCACTTTAAGCACCTCAAAAAGTACGTTGAACGACAACTCGGAATTCAGACACGTTAAACAAAGAATCACGAACAACCTCAGCATAAGCACCGGAAGATAGTAGTTGCCATCGATATTAGAACGAGCAATCCATTCTAATGTAGCTTCACTGTTATCAAGACATTCTCTGACCACCCTCGCCACAAAGTTAAACGTGTCTGCAGCATACGATTTCTTGTCCGTTACTAAACCGGAACTCGGATTTGCATCCGGTGAAAGACACATTAAATATTCCAAGAACGACGATTTTGTAGTGAAAAAAAACCCTCGGGAGTGAGGAACCAAAATCAAGAGCCTCTCCGCGAGATAAAAGAAGCATTTCGGAGAAATATAGTCACTCGCCCTCCAGTTTATGTTGTAAGTTTCTACAAGTGCATTATGAAACTCGCGACTAAGAGAATCTTTCGAAGATTCTTCCACACTGATCAGATTCTCGATGAATGACTTCCACGAAGAGTTATCAGACAGCCTTGTAATAATTTTCTCATGAATTCCGTTTCTCTGCAATAATCCAGACCCGAGCATTGTCATCGCCGCCTCTCCTATCTGCCTATAAGTCAGTTCATTATTATTCCTTGAGCTAACAATATTTCTCGAGAAAATTTCTTCGAGTAAATTATTGGAAAGTTCGGATTCCCTTAAAGATACCATATCCTCAGATAACGAGTGCCGAGGGTCCAAAGGAAAAACAGAGTTGAAGTATTTGGACTCGACGCATAACGACAGAAAGTTCTGCAGTTTCTTTGTGGTGGGTGATTTTGACTCGACGAACCTTGTTATGTCGAAAATGTGAACGAGGCACACACTTTGGCAGTACATAGACAACGAGGGCTTCATCAAGCAAGATTGAAGAGCGTCCAAAACTTTTAGACCGGTCGAAACTATTTCTTGACTCCAATATTCTCGAGCAGCTGATGCAAAATCACGGGCATCAAGAGTTGCCACGTTTCTTTTCCGCAAAATGAACCTCTTGTCGGAATTTCGAACCCATGCAGAATTAGGGTTTGACAATATATAGGTGTTACTCGAGTTATTTGTCGACCTCACTCCAAAGTAGTTAAAACAGAATCGAGCAGTGTCTTCACATTCGCTGAGGTCAGCCCTTTCGATAGAGTCGAGGCATTCAAAGATCTCCAAGCTTTGCACCTTCCATAGGTTCCAAACGAAAACCAGCGTTCCATCAGAGACTTTGTTCTTTGACATTCTTTCTTCGAATGAACTTCGATCAATGAGCATTAATTCAGGATCCGATTCGTATTTTGTCGGATGCACTTGAAAATGGGCATCGAGGAATTTTCTGGCGGATAGAATTTCGACCATACGAGATTTATATTGCTTCGAAGCACTATAACACTGCATCAACTCGGACAAGTTCATCCTATAACTCATTGACAAAAATTTGGCCTCGGCACAAATTGTTGCATGAAAATTTTCCGAAACCTTCTTTGCATCGGAAATAGCTTTCGCTAAAATCTCTTCCTCTTCAGGAAATGATTTTAGAGGCCAACCTTGACTTCCATTAACCCAGAGAGAGTTATTCAATACATACGAAATTACGAGCAAAGAAGCATTTCGAAAGTCTTTAGCTTTTTCGAGCAAATCAATCTCACGTAAAATAATCCTCAACTGTTGTGCAATATGTACAGCCTCGATAAAATTTCCGGAATCTTCCTCCAATATTAGAAGCTCCTCAAAGCAGTCCTTTGATTTCAAGAAGTTGCGTTTGGATTCGTCCGTACAGAAAGCACGAACAAACTTCATCATCGATGCACTGTCTTTTTTCTTATGACATTCGAAAGCACATTTTTCGAGAAACTGTTGTGCAATAATTTCGGTATCGAATGATGCTTGTTGTTTCCATTGCTCGATATATTGCAGACCGAGGTCAAAATGATTGCCTTTGGTGCAAGCTGATAAGCACTCGTCGAAAAAATTCCCCTTGTTATAAACTTCAGCTGCAAGTTTGTAATTTCCAGCTAATGAGAAACACTCCCCTGCTTTTCGAAGCTCAGACGTACCGCATTTTTCCAAATAAATCCTTCCTGCACCAGGAAATTAAATCAAAAAAATCAATCTACTACTACTTTTTGTTTATAAGTTGTCCTGTTTCAATGCTACAAGCAACAATAACTATGCAAAATTAGCATTTTTGGTTCCTATTTCACTCGAACATTGAATTTTACCCTAATGATGTAGTTAAAAATATAGAGTTCTAACGAACTATTAGTTTCATGAATTTCTCTGAAATTTCAGGAAGTGGTGATTCATGTCAGCCCCTACCTTTATGTTATCTCCACCATTTCCAAGTTTCTTTGTCGCGTCCTAAAATAAAAAAAGAGTAAAAAGCAGTTTACCCCCTAAACTAAGGGCCGATTTGCACTTTACCCCCCAAACAAAAAAAATTTGCACGTTTTTACCTGAACTCGTTAATTCGTTGCACGGTGCCCCCTAAACTCAATTTTCCGGCAATTTTGAACGGAATGTTAAATCATATGCGTTGCACGTGCAATTTACAGGGGTAAATTTGTCCATTCTTAAATTGTATATATTAAATATAAAATAATGATTTATAATAAAAGAAAAAAAGAAAAACTACCCACCACAGGCCTTTTTTTTTTCCTTTTCTTTCCTCCCTTTTTTCACTCTGTTCTATTTCTTCTTTTTCTTTCTTGTTCGTTTTATCTCCTCCATCGGAAAATGGATGTGCATATCGATTCTCCCAGGACGCAAGAGGGCTGAATCGATTCCTTCGTGAAAATCATAATTCTCTCATCCTCAGAATTCAACAGCCCATCCATGAAATCCATCAGACCGGATGACGTAATCCTCGACCTCGATCTGTCCGACACATAACAATCTAAATCCTCGAAAACCTGCTTCGATTTCTGAAACATTTCCAAATCGTTGCGTATTTTGGCTTTCACGTCTGGGTCGATTACGAGCGAGTCGAAACTCGCCGGGTGATTGAAAGGAACCGATTTCCACCTGCCGTTGCTTCCGGTTATTGTAAATCCCCCTCTGCTCGATATCGTCGGAGACTGTGTGTATGTGTTGAAGATAAGGTTTCAGTACCCTCCGCTTATCCCTTTTTTTGATTCTCATGACAAAATTCCGAGAAACAACCTGGTTCCGGTGGTCTCTTTCGATTTGATTGACCCATGAAATTCGAGCTCCGAGGAAGACCTCTTGGATGGACTGATTGTCGTCGAGGGAGAGAAGTATGTCGTTGGGCTTTCTGCCGGAGAAGAGGTTGGTGACAAGCTGTAGTCGGGATCGGAGGAGAGATAGGTGTCGTAAAGCCAGTGTCATAGAGGGTCTTCGCCAGAGCCGGAGGAAGGGGAGGCCACTATCTCCTCCATCTACCTCCACCGCATCCACTACATGGGCTCCAATGTCCACTCTCTCTCTCTCCGGTCAAATCATAAATGTCCTCGATTCTTCCTTAGAGAGAGAAATCCAAATCTTCCCAGAGTCCCCATCACCAATTCTCTCAGCCTCCCCAATTTTACCCCATTTTTGTTGATGTTGATCTTGTTCTTAACACGTGCTTGCTTTTTCAATTTCGCCGCTGAAGTTTTGACAGGCTCCTTCGTCAGCCCAAGTTCCACGGCTTCGCCACCTTGATTAGCCTCGTCGCCGGCAAAACAGAGTAGTTTAACAATGGGATGGTGGGCGGTTGTGGGCTAGCCGGCTAGGTTGTGGTCTGGGAATATGGGCTGGGATTTGGGGGGTGGGTCTTGTTGTTGGAGTCCGTTCTCAGTTGTTGTGCTGGAGTTGGTCAGGTAAATCGCGGCGGCCGAAGTGCTGGGAATTGGAGGCGGCGGCGGAGGATAAATGAACGGCAAAGAAGAAGAAATAGAACGAGGGAATAAAATGGAGAATAAAAAAGAAAGATAAAAAAAGCATGTGGCAGGTGTTTTGATTTTTTCTTTTTTTTTTTAAATGATTATTTTATATTAATATATAGAATTTAAGTAAATGGACAAATTTACCCCTGTAAATTGCACGTGCAACGCATATGATTTAACATTCCGTCCAAAATTGCCGGAAAATTGAGTTTAGGGGGCACCGTGCAACGAATTAATGAGTTCAGGTAAAAACGTGCAAATTTTTTTTGTTTGGGGGGTAAAGTGCAAATCGGCCCTTAGTTTAGGGGGTAAACTGCTTTTTACTCATAAAAAAATGATGGTAACATAGGACCAAGACTAGGTACATTTGGTGTTAGGTATTATTCAATTTTGGGCTTATTACAAATGAGCTCATCATGGGCTACTTATTCATAAAATGGTCCAGACAAAAAACTCTTTTACAAAAAAAATCGATAATGTCCAGATTTGTGTAAAAGACTAAAATACTCACTCATATTTTAATATGCTCCAATTTCATCATTTAATTCAATTTGACCCCAAATTTCACTAATTATTCAATTTTGACCTCTAACCCAATTTTTACGTCGCCACCGATCTCCGGTATTGATTTTTTTTTTTTTCTTTTTTTTCCGTCGTCACTGATCGGCGATCAAAGACGGTCTCCGGCAGCGTTGAATTTTTCTTTAAACCTTATTTTTCTGAACATTTTTTGGCATGTTTAAACAGTAACATTACTGTGGTTGAGAGTAATATTAATTATATTATTGTTTAACGCAATATTATATTGTTATATTACTCTCTAGCACAGTAATATTAACACAACAAAAATCACTATTATTGTGTAATACAGTAATAATAATATGTTGACCGTTCAACAAAGACAAGTATAATAAAAAACCAAAGAATTAATATTCATGTGGTTGACAGTAATATTACTGTAAACCACAGTTATATTACAATAGTAGACAGTAAATTATCACGTTGACCGGTCAATAAAACAAACTAAAAAAGCCAAAAAAAATAATATTGATGTGATTAACAGTAGTATTATTGTATTTAAAGTAATTGTACTGTCAAAAAGACAGTACAATTACTCTCAACGTTCAACGACGAACATAAAAAAAAAGAGGATAGAAATTTTTGAAAAGAAAAAAAAGTCAACGCACGGAAACCGGAGGCATAAATAAATAAAAATCATAAAAATTCAACGTCAGAAACCGACGACGAAAAAAAGTCGCCGGAAAACGGCGGCAAAAAAAAGTCAAAATTGGATTTTTGTGGTCAAAATTGATGAAATTGAAGTTAAATTGGGGTTACAATTAAGAATTGAGTTTAAAGGGTTGAGGTAATTTTGTCATATACATTAAGTTTGCCTTTATTTATAATACATATTAAAGATATGGATTTATCGACCAAAGAGATATAGACGGTTGGTGAGTGAGTTATGCAAAAACTAAAAACCCTTTCAATTTTTTCAAAGGTACATTTGGTAATCCAATTGCAAGAATTATTCATTCAATGAGTGTACCTGCTCTTTCGTATTCCCCTAAGTCGCAAAAACATTCAGCTGCAGTATCAGCTCGATCAATAGAATCAAATATTTCGGCAGCCTCTTTAAGCATTACACGTGCCTCTTTCGGGTTTGAACCACGCATAGAGTCTGCCGACGCTCTAAGACCAGAAGCCTTGGCCCTTTTCTCCCATATTTCTTCTCCTGCTTTTTCAAAGCACACTGTTGCCATCTCATAATTTTTCTCCGAAAAGAGCTGCAAAAATAAAAATACAATTAGAATAAATAATGCAAAAAAATATAATTAAAATTAAAAAAAAAAAACCCGGGAAAATACAATTCAAAAAACCTTGACTCCTTGTGATTTCCACTCCTCAGGGCTGCTAGCTCTTTGCATTGCTAAGGCAAGAGAATCGTCTATTTTACGCACTTGGACAAGGCACAACCTTCTCCAATAGTCGAGTATTGGCTTCGACAACTCTTCATCGTTTTCACATATCCACAAACTTTGCCTCGTTCGAGTGACCGCCACGTATAGTTGCTTCAGTTCAGAGCACAAGATATTGTGCCTTGACTCGCTAAAACATGGAAATGACTTTGGAGTAGTGGAATCAAGTAGATCCTTTTCTTTCAAGAATTCGTACAAAACCCTCCATTGATCACTCATTGGTGATGAACCAAAAAAATTGTACAACAAAACATCCTACATGAATAATTCTTACATTAATGTAGAAACATAATTATAAAAATTTTACTTTAATTCCGTGTAAATATTATATACTTTTGTGTCAGAGTTTTTCTTTACTGTTACGCGGGTTACTTACGCTAGGTGTTGGGACAGTTTGTAAAAAAAACACAAATTTAATGTGGTTAAGATACAATTACTAAAATAAAAAATAAAAATGAACTTTACTAGAAATATTCTAACCTGAAACTCGAGTCCCTTGCACTCAACTATAGTCAGAACAAGAGCTTTTTTGCCAATGTAGTTGAAAATTTCGTTTCTGGCAGAATCGTCCCGTACTAAAATTACTTGGTCAGCACCAAACCCGACCCATTTTCCACCATCATGTTCACTATGTCCAAAAATACTCATAATCAAATTCTCGTCACTACCTGGTTCGAGTACAACAGGTGACTCACCGTATATAAAACTACTCTCTGGAGCCAATACATCAATCGATTGTGGAAAAAAATGGCAAATAAGATCTATGACACTTTGCGCCAGCCTAAGTACACCAGTATGAGTACGGAAATTCTGCGACAAACAAAACGTATCCGATATAACCTCTTTCTCTCTCCTCCCTGAAGCTGAAGGCTCACAAATTCTAGATGATTTCATAAAGAACTCATTATAGAACAATGATCTAATGTCTTCAAACCGAAAGTCAATCCCTCGTGCAATCGTCTGTGCTGTATCACCGCAAAATACAAATCCTTCGTCCACATTTTTGCAAATAAACCGGAAAAGGGAAATTTGCCTCATGGTGAGGTCTTGCACTTCATCGATGTACACGAAATCCATTTTATCACCCATTAAATCCTCGTTCTTGAGCCGTAGATGAATGTCAATCACAAAATCAGCAAGATCAAATTCACCACGTTCCACTTTCATTTGCTCGTTGTCGTCGAAAATATCATAAATCGCATCCCTCTTCTCTGCACATAAAGTGGACACCCTACATTCAGATAGTGAAACGTACCCCTCCCTGCTTCGCTTGGTTTCGCCCGATTCCCCTTCTTTTAGACCTCCTTTGATATGCGACATAATTTCAGTGAACTCTCTTGAGGGATCGAGAATTTTTGTATGCTTAGCATTGAAATGGGGCCAATATAAGGACCGAAAACGGTCATAAGTAACCTCGTTTCTCCTTATGAAAGTCTGCAGTGCAATAGATCTTGTTCCTTCGTACTGTGAGGAGCCTCTTACATCACGAAATCTCTCAAAGTAAGAATTACCCAAAGTACCATCGAGCATCATTAAAAACTTATGAAATGTTATGATCAGAGGATATTTTTCTGGTTCGATGTCAACATATGTGTCCGGTATATCTCTAAATTCAGCCATTTCGTCTAAATCATCCATATCCGCGAAGTTGTTATTTTCGGAGGCGTTCTCACTAGCAAAGCTATACAAATAGTAAAGTAAGGATCAGTATATGATTCAAACAGAACATATTGCTTGTTTATCCAACTATTTCTTGCTATTTTTGCCATATTGAAAAAAAAAGACAATGAATTGGAGCTCTAAACGCACCTCTTTAGATGAGATACGTGCTTTTTGACAGCATAACAGAGTTTTGGACTAACGGTAACAAAAAGCTGATGCAAAATAGGCGCAACATCGCCAGCTGTCATAGAATCCCGTGTGGCAATGGAGTACTGATGACCTAATAGTCGTCTTCCCAGTACCAGATCGACCTAATATAAAGCTGCTCCTTGGAAACATTATTATTTCTCTCTCCTCATCGGTGACCTCAAACGGAAGATCAACTTCTCTACCCTCGATATTAGTAAGCAAATGATTCACAACACCACTCGACAATGAGTAAAATTTCATCAACAGTAAGCTCTCGTTCACTCTGGCATTTTCAACATGACTTCTGCAGTCAACGCTAGCATTTACATTGTTGTCGTTTTGATTCTTGAACCGGATTATCTCATCGGACACCGACCAACTCTTTGGCACCTCCAAATTTCTGAAAAAAAAAAAACCGGAATTAATTGCGACCAATCACGATTTTTGAATTGGAATTAGAGGAAATCGTAAATTAATTTACGTACCCCTCGCACAACTTCTCATTGCAGCGGTTGATAAAATCATCCGTATACATAGCAAAAATGTTGTCTAGTCGTTTCAAGAGTTTTGTAGTCTATCCGTCATAGGCAATATATCCCACACTTTGAAAATTTGCACGTAAACAGGATCCTTAACTATGTCGATTGAGCACACAACATAGTATTTTCCCACCTTAATTTGCTTCACAATGTACGAAGAGCTCTCGCATTTCCAGTCCACATTTATATTCTTGCAAGCTTAAGTAAAACACTTATGACCAGCTTCTTAGCATTGGAAGGATTCAATTTCTGAAATGATTTTTGGAAGTTTTCACTGAATACAACCTGAAAATTTGCCATTTTACACAGTATGAGAAAAAAAAATTACACAAAGAGGAAATTCATGTTGTAGAATCGACAGATAAAATTTGAGCTATGTAGCACGTACACGGGACCGGGGGAAATAGAGAAATGGACAGGGAGAAATGCAAACTGAATTTTCCCCTTAAATAAATGATGAATATATCAAGAAAATATTTTTTCAACATATTTAAAATCAATTTTACATTTCAATGTTATACTTTTACCAAGATTTTTTTTTTTGAATTTTAGTTTAATTTAATTTTTTTTTCTTTTTTTACTTTCCCTTCATTATTAGTGTAAAAATTTGAATATATAAATCATGTGTTATGTTCATCGTAGTCATAATATATATTCTCCGAAAAAATTTACATTCAATATACTTTATTTGCAAAAATCTATAATTTACTGCATGTATATGATTCCAAATTTATTGTTACTAATTATTAATGAAGTTAATTATCAAATAAACTTTTATCACTAAATTATTCGATTAATAGGTCATTTATTCTAATTGGTGGAAACATTAGGTAGAAATATTTGGAAGAAAATATAATTTTCAGATAACTGGATAACGAAATAGCTGAAGGTATTTTTTTCGTAAAATATTTTTTTGTAATAAAAAATATAATTTTTAAATACCACTAGGAATATTAAATTATCTTTATTAGCTTTAAAAACCCATGTAGGGTGCATTATGCATCATATATTATGTTTCGAGGGTGCAAAATAATATTAATTTATTTTAAGGGTACAAAGTGCCAAAATGGTACATTTCAAAGGTGTAAAGTGGGATTAAGCCGTCTTCCATTATTGATTAACAAGTTTGCCATTTCCGGCGTTGACTTTTTTTCTGGTCTGTTTTTTTCCACCGCCGGATCGCGGCATTGGCTTTTTTTTTTTTTTGTATTTATTTTTTTACGTCCGTCGCTAAACGTTGACCGTAATTGTGCTGTCACTAACAGTAGATTAACGTAATTATACTGTCAATAACAGTTAAAAAAAATATCGAAAAAGTCAACGCCGGAAACCGGCAAAAAATCCGGAAGAAAAAAAAAACAAAAATAAAATATTGAAAAGTCAACGCCGGAGACTGGCGGGAAAAAAAAAATTTGCTAATTATTTTTTTTGAAAAAAAAAAGTTTTGGGTCAAAATTGAATAATTTGTGAAATTTGGGGTCAAATTGAGGTTAATTTAAGTTAAGGATGAAATTGGAGCATATTAAAGTATGAGGGGTTATGTTAGTCCTTTACAAAAATCTGGACCATGCGTGGACTTATTGGTAAATGAGTTTTTTATCTGGATCTCTTTATGAATAAGTACTCATTGATGGGATTATTTGTAACCCCTATAATATATTTTTGATTCTTATAAATATTATAGAATAAATAATTTTATTTTACAAATATTTAAAAAAATGAAAATTAACAAAATAAATTTATCTTATTATATATGATGGGCAAATAGAAAACTTAATTTTATTTCACTAATGTAGATACATAACTTTTAAGTTAGACAAAAGAACTCATGTATTATAACACCAAAAGACAGTGAAATATTTACAATGTGAAAATATTTAATAAATAATTATTTACGTTTTAATGAGAGTTGTATTTTGATATTTGATCTTTCGCAATGTAAAAACACATACTGCAGAGTAAAATATCAAAAATGAGTGATGAATTTAACCACCCCATGTCCATTTAGAAAATGACATATGGCAATTATATATATAAATTAATTGAAATATTTTTAATTAATAACCATTTGATACCTACAGTTGAAGTAAATACCTTAAGATAATTAAGATCAAAATAAAATATTGTATATTAAATAAATATTTGCAAACTCATTTTAATACTTTTGAATTGGAGTTACTTTAAATATATACTTGCACCAACTTACCACCTCTTAATTATATTTATCGGAGTTTTAGTAAAATACACATTCTCATTTAACCCCTAAGTCAATGAGAGTGGGTGCCCATTTCACATATAAACGACATATGAATCTTACGAATTTTCGATGTGTATGCAAAAATCATTTAAAATGTTATTTTAGTATGGTAATTGATCTATACGTGGAGTGTTGCACCTTTTCTTGGTGATGATAAATCATGTCCCCACAAAAGTTATGCTTAGTGAATTATCTATATAAGAATTTCACAAGTCTGTATATACTAGTTAGAGCAAAAAGAAAAAAAGAGAGAAACAAAAGAAGAAAGAAATGTAGCAACTTTATACAAATTTGATATATAGAAGTACAAAGAAAATGAGAAAAGCACAAATTCTAACAAAAGGAAATACAAAGAAAAGATGGCTTATGAACTTTGTTATTAAATCAGCCACATATTTCTTTTTGAATCTTTTGCAATTCATTAATAACATCTTTCATCAACATTCTTTCTCTCGGCACTTCCTTTGAACACGAGACTCCAATGCTGATAATAGAAGCCATAAAATCCTCGATCTTACTACAATTTTGATGAGGGCCTATTCGAATGAGAGGATCCACAATTTCCATTACACGATCCGGTAACGCAGCGACAGCAAAATTATGAAGATTGACATGATCCATAAATGAATCATCCGTTGGTCTTCTGTTTGTGAACATCTCCAATACAAGGATGCCATAACTATACACATCGCCTTTTGTTGTGATCGTGTTACTCGTGCCATATTCTACAAATACGTACAAGATATCAATTAAATAGATAAAATTTGGTGGGATTATATAATGCAATGAAAATTATACCTGGAGGGACATAGCCAATGGTACCCCTTATTCCAATTGTGCCACTACTTTCTGAAAGTATGCTTGAAATAATCTTGGCTAATCCAAAATCACCAACGCAAGCCGTCATATCTTGATCCAAAATAATATTACTTGGCTTCAAATCGCCGTGAACAATTGTTGAATTAGTACCACAATGGAGATATTCAACTGCTTGAGCAATATCAATAGCAATGTTGAGCCTCTCTTTAATGTCAAGATATCTAAGTTGGGTTTCAGATTGCCCTTTCTCTTGTTCCCTATTGTAGTACAACCATTTATCCAAACTCCCATTAGCCTTAAATTCGTAAATCAATGCTTTGAAATCGTTTCCTTGGAAGTCAACACTTTCGCAAACACTCAACATTTTCACGACATTTTCGTGTCTTATGCCACTCAGTGCGTTGCATTCCGCCATGAAGCTTTTAGAAGCTCCATTTACAAAAAGATTAAGAATTTTCACGGCTAAAAATTTGTGGCCATTATCGATAATTCCTTTGTAAACGGATCCGAATCTCCCACGACCTAAAATATTATACTCGGAAAATCCATTTGTTGCGTGTAAGAGGTCTGCATATGAAAGCCTTAAAAAGGGTATTCCGGCAGATAATGGTAGAGAAGACAAACTTGTGTTGATAGTTCTTCTCTTGTAAAGAATAATGATGAGGCACAAGATTGCTGCAACTCCAACTATTGGGATCACTACTTTTATAGGAGTGGATAAGTTATTCTTCGAGGAAATTGATGATGAAGAACATGGAGGAAGATTTAACTCAAAAATTCCTCCACACAGTTTTTCATTTCCTTCCAACGAAATCGCAGTCTTATTTTTAAGACTCCAGTTATCGGCACTTTTCCTTGCAACATATTGAAAGATAGGTTCAATTTTTGGAGATGTAACTCACTCAAGAAAATTGGGATTGTTCCAGACAAATTATTCCGTGAGAGATCTAGATTTGTCAAGCCCATCAAAGAACTTAGTCCCTGAGGTATTTGTCCTTCGAATAAATTACCCTCCAAATGTAGCCATTCCAAACTATTGCACGTCCCTAAAGAGTTTGGAATAAGTCTAGACAGCCTGTTATTAGAAAAATCTAAGACTTCCACCTTTGTCAATGAACCAACTTGAACTGGAATCGAACCCGTGAGTGCATTGTAAGACAAATTCAAGAAAACATAACAGGTGGGAATAAGAATCTCTCTGGGTATTGGGCCAATGAAGTTGTTTCGAGAAAGATCTAATTCTCGCATGTTGGTGCAATTAGCAAGACTCGTGGGAATAATTCCAGAGAAGTTGTTTCTTTGTAAGGATAGAGAGTACAACAAAGTCAAGTTTCCAATTGCGGATGGTGCATCACATGTAATTCTGTTATCTTCCAAGTCAAGAACACGCAAATTAAATAGTCTACCGATGCTCAAAGGAATAGGACCCTCAAGATTGTTGTAAGAAAGTTGTAAGCGCGTGAGACGAATAAGGTTTCCGATCCCTGTAGGAATCCTTCCAACTATTTGAGTACCATAAATTCCGAGTCTATCAAAATGGGTTGACATATTCGCAATTGTTTCCGGAATTGAACCAGTAATTAAAGGGTTATCTCCTAAATCAAGAACTCGTAGGCTTGTACAGTTTGTTAACGATGAAATGAAACTAATATCATCTTCAATCAAGGTTGCTGCAGCATATAAAGAATCAAGCTTTGAAAGTCCCCCAAACCTTGGCATTATCCCATTAAAATCATTAACCGACAAAACCAATAATTCAAGGGAGGAAACATTCGACAGAGTGATCGGAACACGCCCACTAAATTGATTTTTTCCCAAGACTAGAAGCTTCAGATTAGGGAGAGTTAGGCCTATAGTAGAGGGTATGGTTCCATGAATATCATTAAAATCAACTTGAAATTGCTCGATAGTAGATATATTGAACATAGCTGAAGGAATAGTGCCTATGAGATTGTTGTCACCCAAATCAAGATAACTTAGTCCTTCAAGTTGGGAAAGGGACTGCGGAATTTCTCCTTCAAAGCCGCAAGACCTTAAATAAAGGGTTCTTAGAGATGTTAGGTTTCCAAAAAAATGAGGGATTAGCCCCGAGATTTTGTTCTTACCCAAGCCTAGATCTCTTAGTTTCTCCAAAAATTGGATTTCCGGAGGTATAGGTCCAGAGAGATTGTTGTTTATCAAGTTAAGATAAACTAGATTTCTCCATTGGGAAATATTTTCAGGCACTATTCTTCATGTGAACGAATTGTTGCTAAATTCTATATACTCAAGTCTTCTTAAAAGACCGATTTCTTGGGGAATTCGGCTATTGAAGATATTATTTGCGAGATTGATTTTTCTGAGGAATGAAAGATTACCTATATGAGGTGAAAGTGATCCCATCAAGCCTTGAGAATTCAAGTTTATGGCAATAACTCTATTCGGGTGCCTCCGGCCGCATGTAACTCCGTTCCACGTGCAAAAGTTTGTAGTTCGATTCCATGAGTTTAGAGCTCCGTTTGGATCGACATTCAAGGCTTCTTTCAAGGCAAGCAACGAAAGCAAATCTGTTTGGTTACTGCTGGAGGATGCTGGAGTGTACAAGGCAAAACAAGAGAATGCCAACAAATAAAGGGTTATTATGATTGAATTTGCCATTCCGTCTGCGTTGATACGCTTACGCGATTTCATATATATATATATATATATATATATATATATATATATATATATATATATTTGTGTGTGCGTGGGTGTGGGTGCGTCAAGCTAAGTCCACCAAGTCTACGCATGAAAGTTAAGCATATTTGGAATTTTACTAAGTCGCCAAAATGCCAAAATTGAAAAGTTGGACCATTCTCTGGGTAGAAACCAAAATGCCAAAATTGACAATGATGTATCATTCCCATAGGAATATAATATCGTGTTTGCTTTTCTCATTTCAATTTTTCTTACCATAGGTGTTTTGCCAAACAATGTTAGTTAAAATTAAGGGGTAATTACAAATAAGTATGTGATGATCAACTTTTTCAATCTAAATCCACTTCGGATCTCTTTTACAAATAAATCCAGATAATGTTGAGAGGTGTGTAAAAAATTAAGGATTAAAATACCCTCTTATTTTTTAATATATTTTCATCCATTTAATCCCAATTTCACAAATTATTCAACTATGACTTCTAACCCAATTTTGACTCAAATTTTGGACCGTCGCGCCGCCGTTGACTGCTGGTCAACCGCTGCGGTTCACTGCCGGTCAACCGCCGTCCATGACGTTGACGTTTTTCTTAACCTTTTTTTTCCACCGCCGCCGCTGACCGGCTGCGTTAACTTTTCTTTTTAATTTTTTTTTCCAAATTATTTTTTGGCCCGGTAAAAACAGTAAATTACCGTGGAATCATGAATCGTGTTCTTTTTTTTTTTTTTTTTTTTAAAAACCCCTAAAGGTAAACCCTAGCGGGGAATCTATTATAAAATATAAAAAAGAGACATGTGGCAGCAGAAGACCCACCCGGTGTTTATCACCGGGTGTAGGGTCGAACAAATCTGGTATATGTTACAATACATAAGTAATTTAAAAAAAAAAAAATATTGTTTTAAATAAATATTTTTTTAAAAGATAAATAAATAAATAAACAAAAATTATAATTAAAAAAAAGGGGCTCTTTGAGAAAACCCCCTCACTACTTTTTTTAATGGAGGGAGACCCAAAATATTTTAGTCCATTTGAGAAAAGCCTACACCCATTTTCAGCCATTATGTTTTCCATCTTTGCCCCCGCCCGCCACATCATCATTGGATCACGCGCTCAGCGAATTTTTTTTTTTTTCCGTTTTTTTTCCGTCTTTTCTGTATCAGTTTCCTTAATCGACTATGAAGCATAGTCGATTAGCCTTAATCGACTATGCTTCATAGTCGATTAAGGAAATTATTTAATTTTTTAATTTTTTTTGTTTTTTAATATTTTTTTTATATCAGGTATTATTAATCGACTATGATGTGAAGCATAGTCGATTAAGAATCTGCTACTAAAAATAACAAATCACAACTGCGAAAAAAATACAAAATCAACTATATATTACAAAAAAATATACAAATATTATAAATGATTAATACAATTGGAATCAATAAACAAAAAGTTCAAAAAAAAAATAAAAAAATTGGAGTCGATCAACCTTAATCGACTGCCAGAGCATAGTCGATTAGCTTAATCGACTATGAACTGATTAGCTCAATCGACTATGAACATGTACATAGTTGATTAAGGTTTCAGCATGCGCGAAATTCTCTACCAGCGCCGTCCTCCGCCTGATCCACCAAAAAACCCTAAATTTGTCTCCCCATCGTCACCACACCGCCGCCACAGCACACCATCACCACCTTACTTTGACATTATGACGGTTTTTTTATTACAAATAAATAAATAAAATCACAACTCGTACCATCAACCAAAGCAGAACCACCACCCATCAAAATCAGATTTCGGCGACAAATCGACAATCTTATCTCTATTCGCCTCCGATGTAGCCTTCTTGGCATTCGAATTCAGAATCGCTATCAAAATCATTTATAATGTTTGATGGGTGCTTCATCTTCTTTCTTTCTCCATCTCCCGGCGGCGGCGGTGGCGGTGACAGTGGCGGAGAAGTCACAGAGAAAATAGAGGAAAAAAAACAAAGAAGAAGAGAAAAGAGAGAAGAAGAGAAACGTTGAGCGTCAAAACGGCGGATGAAAAAATAAAAATAAGATTACGGTTTTGAAAGATTATAACAGACAATTAAGGGTAATTTTGGAATTATGAAAATATCACATGGGTGGAATATTAGCTAATGGGGTTTTCTCTAATTATTTTTGGGAGGAGGTCTTTTCTTAACTCATTTTTCTAGATGAGGGGGTTCTTGCTAATTATCCCTTAAAAAAATTTAAAAAATCATTAAAGTGGTGGGTAATTAATAGGAGGGATGGTGAATTTGAAATAAAAGAAAAACTGAACCTACTACGAAAAATAAGCTGGACTTATTTTTATTAAAAAAAATTCTAAAGGTAATCAATCGCACTAATAATCCCTATTTTTTAAGTCAAAGTCTCAAGTAGCACCGCAGTCTCAAGTCTTAAGTCTCAAGTCAAAGTCTTTTAAAGTCATTTAAAAAAAAAAAAGAAAGAAAGGAAAAAAAGTCTTTTTAAGGCATTATTAAAGATCAATATGCGTGGGACACAACCAATGAAGCATTGGAAAACCTTTGGCAAAATTCCAAAACTAATTAATTAGTAGACTTGGTGTTAGACTTGGAATGTTATTCGTATATACATACACTGAACACAACAAAAATCACAAGTCTAAAAACAATGGCGAAATCCATCAAGAGTATTTTTTATTTCCTGATGATCATATAAAAAGAATAGAATTGGAGAAGGAGAGAAATAATAATACGTAATATAAACCCCCATTGTGTTATGGGTTGATTTACATGGAATATATAGAGAAATAATACTAGGTAGTCGAGTTTAACTAGGTAACTAAATCCTAACTAATCTAGATAACTGAATCATAATAGAATCCTAATATTACAAGAGTTATTATAATATAATATACTCTAATACGCCCCCGCAGTCGAAACGTGACGAACGTGTGGACTGGACAATAACTTGCTAACACGCTCCCGCAGTCGCAACAAATAAACTTCAAAAGTGAATAAACTCCAAAAGTGAAGACCCGACATAACCGCGAAACACAACGCTAGAGAATCCCTCTGTGAAAATATATGCCCAATTGATAGAAAAAAAAAATAATAATAACGGGAGAGAGAAAAATAAGCATTTTTCTTTTCGAGATAGATTGAGAGATGATATGAGAGGGGGAAGAAGAATAATTAAAAAGAAGGATAGAGAAAGAAAAAAAAAAGGAGATTTGAGAATAACCGACTAGGAAGAAGAAGATGTCGGAAAATAATATAAGTTACCACCACCGGGGAGGGAGAAAATTAAGTGGTGTTCATGGATCTGATAGAAAAAGACTTATAGAGAGAAGAGTACCACCACCGGGAGGGAGATAATTGATTTGGTGGTCGCCGGCCATGGAGAAGAAGAGAGCGGCGGCTAGGTTTTAGGCCATGGAGAAGAAAACAAGAAGACGAAGAACGGAAAAAATAGAGAAGATGATGCACCACCGAGGGAGGGAGAAAATTCGGGTGGTGTTCATGGAAACGATAGAAAAAGAAAGATATTAGAGTACCACCACTGGGGAGGGAGAAAATTGGGTGGTCACCGCCATGGAGAAGAAAGGCGGCTAGGTTAAAAAACCTGGTGCTCTGATACCATATAGGAATAATATAATTGGAGCAGGAGAGACATAATAATACGTAATGGAAACCCCCATTGTGTTATGGGTTGATTTACATGGAATATATAGAGAAATAATACTAGGTAGTAGAATTTAACTAGGTAACTAAATCCTAACTAACCTAGATAACTGAATCATAATAGAATCCTAATATTACAAGAGTTATTATAATATAATATACTCTAATAGATCATCTTCTCTTGTCTTGCCTTACACACTCTATCGACATTCTCCAGCAATAACCAAACAGATTTTCTTTCATTGTTGGCCATGAAAAAAGCTATAGATGTCGATCCAAACGGAGCTCTAAACTCGTGGAATCGAACGACAAATTTCTGCAGATGGAACGGAACCACATGCGGCCGCATGCACCCGGACAGAGTTGTTGCCATAAATTTGGGTTCCGAAGGCTTGATATGATCACTTTCACCTCATATAGGTAACCTCTCGTTCCTTCGAATCATCAGTCTTGGAAACAATAGCTTCAGTGGCCGAATTCCCCTAGAAATCGGTCTTTTAAGACGACTTGAGTATATTGAATTTTCGAACAATTCTTTCTTTGGATCAATACCCAAAAATATGTCCCAATGCAAAAGTCTAGTTTACATCAACTTGATCAACAACAATCTATCCGGAAACATACCACCAGAGATCGGCTTATTGTACAATCTCCAGTCTTTATACTTGGGGAAAAACATATTTTCAGGGCATATCCCTCAAACTATAGGAAACCTAACATCTCTCGGAGCAATTTCGTTAAGGTTGTGCGGCTTGATAGGAAAATTCCCAAATCATTCTCTCGGTTTCGAAGACCAAGTTTTCTTCAGTTAGCTCAAAACAACCTAACTGGCACAATTCCTCCAGGTCTATTCAATATATCCAGTATCGTCTTTTTTGGAGTCGACATCAATCGACTTCAAGGATCAATACCCTCTAATGTAGGCCTCACTCTACCTAATATGAGGGGTCTGCACTTGGGTGAGAATCAATTTAGTAGCCATGCATATTCCAATTTCACTCTCAAATGCTTCCTCGCTCGTAGAGTTACTCCTAGCAGATAATCATTTTAGTGGGCCAATGCCAAGGTTCGGAGAGCTTTCAAATCTTCGTTACTTGTTCGTCGCCGGAAACATTATTGAAGACGATATAGTTTTGTTTCGTCGCTCACGAATTGCACGAGTTTACAAGGTATCGATGTAGGTGATAACCCATTCGTTATTGGTTCAATCACCAACACAATTGCCAATTTTTCCAGCCACCTTGAGAAACTAGGAATCTATCTTACTCAAATAGTCGGAAAAATTCATTCGGAAATCGGGGGCCTTCTTGGTCTCAAGCACTTGAGACTTTCCAACAACAATCTAGAAGGTCCTATTCCTTTGAGCATTGGTAGACTTTTTAATTTGCATATTCTTGAATTGGGAGGCAACAGATTAACGAGTCGTATACCGCCCGTATTTGGAAACTTAACTTTGTTGTACTCTATATCCTTGGAAAGAAACAACTTCTCGGGAACTATTCCCACGAGTCTTGCTAATTGCACAAACATGAAAATGTTAGATCTTTCCGTAAACAACTTCGATGGCCCCATACCCCAAGAGATTCTTATTTCCACCGTTTGTATTTTTTTGGATCTATCTCACAATGCATTAACAAACTCCATCCAACTTGAATTTGGATCCTTGAGAAATCTTGAAGAATTAGATTTATCTAATAACAAATTGTCTGGACTTATTCCGCGTTCTTTAGGGACGTGCGTTAGCTTGGAAGGACTTTACCTATATGATAATTTGTTTGAAGGGCAAATACCTAATGAACTAAGTTCTTTGATGGGCTTAACAGATTTGGATCTTTCACGAAATAATTTGTCCGGAAGTATCCCAAGTTTCCTCGGTGACTTGGATCTCCAAAACTTGAATCTATCTTTTAATAGCTTTCAAGGACGACTACTGGAGTGTTAAAAAACACGAGCGCAATTTCTCTTGAAGGAAACAAAGAATTGTGTGGAGGAATTCTTGAGTTAGACCTTCCTCCTTGCACTTCATCAAAGAAGAAAAACTTATCAACTCATCTCAAAATCGGGATCCCAGTAGTAGCTGGAGTTGCAGCAATTCTATGCTTCGTCGTTTTTATTTACAAGAGGAGAACACCGGACAAAAATATGCCTTACGTACCTTCATTCACCGGGATCCCTTTCTTGAGCCTTTCGTACGCGGATCTTCTAAAAGCGACGAGTGGGTTTGCCGAGACTAACTTGGTTGGTTTTGGAAGATTTGGATATGTATATAGAGACATTCTTGATGACGGGCCAACAATTATATATAGCTGTGAATGCTCGTGAAAATACTGAGTGTTTGTGAAAGCATAGACTTTCGAGGAAACGATTTCAAAGCATTGGTCTATGAATTTAAGGCTAAAGGGAGTTTAGATAAATGGTTGTACTGCATTAATAGTGAACAAGAAGAAGGAGAATTTAGAAATCTTGATTTGATTGAGAGGCTCGGTATTGCCATTAATGTTGCTCATGCACTCGAATATCTTCATTGTGGGATTGATTCAATAATAACTCATGGTGATTTGAAGCCGAGTAACATTCTTTTGGATGAAGATATGACGGCTTGCGTTGGTGATTTTGAGTTATCGAAGATTACTTCAAGCATACCCGAAAGCAGCAGCACAATCGGAATCCGGGGTACATTTGGATATGTTCCACCGAGTATGATTTTATTAATTAATCTTTGTTCTTCATAAAACTCCAATTTTTCTTTTTTTTACTCTTATCGATAAATGCAGAATATGGCATGAGTAACTCGGTCTCAACAAAAGGGGATGTATACAGCTACCGTATTCTCGTCTTGGAGATGTTCACGAATAGAAGACCGACCGATGATTCGCTTAGTGAAAATGGTAATCTTCACAATTTCGTTAGCACTGCTTTGCCTAATCGCTTAATGGAAATTGTGGATCCTCTCATTCGAATGGGGCCGCACGTGATCGATAACGGTAAGCTCGAAGATTGCATGTGTTCTATTATGAGAATCGGAGTGTCGTGTTCGACGGAATTGCCGAGAGAAAGGATGTTGATGTCTGATGTTGTTAGGGAATTGCATAGGATTCAAAAAGAATTGTGTAGCTGAAAACAGAGTTAGGGACCCCTGCTTTTCTTGTGTTTCTTATTTTAAAGGAGTAATATTTGTATCTCCGGAGTTATGACTATTTGGCAACAACACCACGTACTTTTTATATTTGTCATCCACATCCCCTAAACTATAATAATTTGACACCAACACTCCTTCCATCTATTTTTTCATTTATTTAGGTGAGAATTAAACTTTGAAGGGTCAAATAGCATTTTTCATAAAAATTCCAACTCTTTTAAAGTGAAATTTTTATCCCACACATTTTTAGAAATTTATTTCAAAGGGGTCATTACAAATAGGGGTCTTAAGATATAAGTCCTTGGTAACAAACCTTATTAGAATTAAATGAAAAAGCTAACTAAAATTTGCTTCACATCCTTTATTAAATTCATTCCAAAAATGCCCCTCCACTCACAAATTCGAAATTACACCAAATTATAAATATGCTATGATGAACTATGGTATTATTTAACATTTTTAAGTTTGCATCTAGCATTTTTTTTTATTTTTACGTGGAATTCATTTTTTTTCGTATTTTTTCATTATATAAAAATCTATTTTTTCCCCCTTCTTTTCTACATAAATTGAAAATTGTGATTTTTTTAATTTTTTCGGTCGTAGACATCTACAGAAACCCAGACGAAACCGTACTAATTCATAGTCACCCATAGACATCTTGAAACCCTAAGACATCTTGAAACTCTAACTCCTCCTACATACCCTAGCCGCCAGACCCATAGACATCCAATCGATTTTTTTTTAAATTTTCCCCACCAAACCCTAGATTCGTTCATCCACCACCACCATCCACCACCACCACCATCACGGAGCGCCGCCATCACGCCATCATCCATGCCCAACACCATCGCCGCGCCTTCCACCATAGATTTAACCTTACACCACCATAGTCGCCGTCTCGTTACCTCTACAACCATCCGCTTATTGCCGCCATCTCCACCGCCATAACCACCGGCACAAGCAACGCCATAACGAAAGAGACAAAGAGATAGCGATATCGAACAATAGAGAGATAACGATTGAGAGAGGGAGAGAGAGAGAGAGAGAGAGAGAGAGAGAGAGAGAGAGAGAGA